ATTACTGACTTGAATAATATGTATTTGAATAATAGACCATTTAAGAAATGGAAGCTAAATTTACATATCGCCTGATTTAAATTTCAAAAAAACTGCGTAAAAATCTATGAAATCAGCACTTGTCAATCACTACGGCGGTCTCTATTTCAGAAAAACTAACCAATGCACCGACCATTTCTATTTGTATACTTAAACACTGTGTTATGAATTTTTAAAATAAACATCAATATAAAAATCTTCTAACGAATATATTTTTCTACTTCCTGCTGTAAAATAGATTTTCTACTCCCGTCTGTAAAATTCCTAATTACACACCGATCTAGCATGCGGGAACCATCACTTTACCGCGTCAGTTTCGTTTCCCAGGGATCCGAGCCACTTCGGACATTTCCGGGATTTTATCGCACGGATTTGGTAGCAATCGGATGTTTTCGGAGATATTTCTCACGCCTTGAATTTTGACGTTTGTCAATTCTGATGGTCATGTCAGTGAATGAATTCGTGTTGTTTTGCGAAAATGTACCCAAAAACTAACGGTCGCAGAAAAAGTATAGTATGCAGCACGTTCGGTAAACTTTTTAAGTCACTAGCTCATTAAACACTCGCTCCGCTCGTGTCAAATAAACTCACAATGCCGTTTACTGCAGTTGTTACTATTTCAAAGGTTTTTGGCACAGTTTTTATACACGAACAATAATAATTTCCACTAGATTATCGTTCGTTCTAACGAACAGAAATTAGTGGGTTAGGTGTCCAACCAAACCGGAGAAATTATATTTACAGAGGTTTTAATTTGTAAACAATAAACCTAACCTAAGAAAAATGTCATGTAAACCGCTCATGCTCGAGTACAACGTTTTCATTTGTTGCGGCACTAGCGGTTGTGGGGCAAACTAAAATAACTTGTATTTCTTGTCCTTATATATAGCGGTGTTATCTTTATTTCGAAGTTTTCTCGGAAGGACTTGTTATTGCCTTCGATGACGACAGAAACTTTGGTCGAGAAACGATTCGATATGGCTGAAGGAAGAGCTTTTTTTCTTTCGACAAATTAATCCGAGAATATTCCGTTATTAGCCGCGTTGCCGCGACAACGGTAGCGAAAAATCCGAGGGCTACTTCTTCGCCGGATATGAAGGAAACTGCGCGCACCACTACCTAATTAATCAAAAAGGAAGACGTGAGGAGACCAAAGGGCCAGGAATAATTCTTTAATCTTGTGAATTGACGTTGTTGTTCGCGTCCGAGTTACAAAATCGATAGCGCCGTTTAATGTATACGGCTTAATTGATACCGACCGCATTATAAGCGGGATAAACAATCGGGCGCGATTAATATTTCCGACGAGCATTAAACCGCCGTAAAATATTTTATATAGGGTCGTATTATTGCCACGGGTCGGGTGAAAACGTCCTCGACCCATTACGTCGTTTGTTTCGAACCGATACCCGATCTTGCGATTCGTTCGTTCATTTTTCTCTCGTACCAGCTTCTTATTATAAACCTATTGCCGAACTCAGTAAGTTCGATTGATCTGTGGTTGCGTCAAACATCGCGTTCAGGCATGAGCATGACATTTTTGTTAGGTTAAGTTTAATGTTTAGAGTGGAAAAGGACATTGGTAGGGGAAATGTTAATAATTATCAGGACAGAATCATAATAAAAGCACACAAAAAGCAAAACAAAGCACAGATGGCAAAGTAAAATCGTTCAATGATGCTAGTTTAAGGTAAGTATGCGAAAGTGAATGTAGACACTATTCTCTCGGGTTTGCAAAAAATATCTTGTGTAAATGTACATTTGCTACGCATGCATGAGGTTTGTAGACGATTTTAGGAGAACTTTCGGAGAAAACTCTCCCTTCCAGAGACAAAATAAGGAAGAATTATGTATAAAGAAGAAACCGCAAAATCCAGTGATGGGGCTGCCCAGATCAGTGACAAGAGAAATATCTAAACTAACCAAAACTAACGTATTATTTTAATTGGGCAGAAGATCTTGAGGACGAAGATTTTAATATTTTTATCAACCAGTGGCAGTTATCAATGAAGAAAGTAGAAGAAAAAATATGCACAGCACCAAAAGGACAATAGAACATGGAAAACATATTTTTATTTATTGGCAATGATTTCTCTATTAGAACGGATATAATGAAATGGAATGGAACCTGTAAGCCTACGGGTGCCTTCATACAAATAATTAGTAAAATATGTTAAAATTTCATTATCGTTAATTAATTTCTGGCCTTTTGTTTGTTTTAGATATGTCTTAAAAATGTAGATACAATATTAAAATTTTTTATTTGATAGTAAATATTTTCGAGGTACCAAATATTTTACTAACAAATTTTAATTTGTTGAAAAAAGCTCTGTATGTTTTATTTAAATTAAAATTAGTATATAAGAAAATTCCAATCTTATTTTAAAGAAGCTGGTTACATGTAAATAAGTAAATTTAATAATTATTGTATTTTAATTATTTTGTTTTTCTTTAGAAAAAATTCTAAGAATATTAAACACTTGACATCCCTGCTACTTCGAAACATTTTTATTCAATAAATTATTTAAACATAATTTAAAGAAAAAACAATGCGCTGCCTTTTTCGTGGAACCTTCTCTAGAATCTTATTATTTTTTTTTTAATAAGATTATATATTATAAGAAAAATGGAAACTTTTTTATTTATGTTTTTATTGAGTAGGATATAATAAATATAAATAATATAAAATAGGTCCTATGATTCCTACACATGTTATTATTGTTCGCTTTCAAATTCAAATGCTCAAAATGGCGGTTTTCACGTAGTGTGTGTTGTTGCCTGAGACAGCGGCGTTTTCATTTCTGTGTGGTCTGTGTATCACGCGATGTTTCTCGTTTTTCTATTCTATTCGCTGCCAACGGGAAGAGGGAGGAGAAGACGTAAGGGAAAATATTTATGCCGTCAGCTCGATATGCCCACCAAACACATGTGCTACTTGGCTAAGAACTTACGACCTAACAAAGAGCATAAATATTTAAGATGCTGACTGGGAGGGCCGATCACTGCGTCCGTAAGGTTTCTGATCCCCGCAGGGGACGGAAGTGAACCCCCCGGGGTTTAGGTTCACGTGTTTGTGGTGGGGGGAGTCGATCCCGTGTCAAGCCGGCTATTTAGCACAAGGCTGAAAGCGAAAATGGCGGGTCTGAACTTTGTTGAACTTTTTTTTGGTTTTTTTTTAATAAAAGCAACTTGCATTGGCCAACACAATATCATTTCTCTTCGTAATGAAAAGTTAGCATTTTAATAAAAACATTTCAATAAATAAAATTTAATTCCATATAAATCCATATATGGATTTAAATTTTACTGAATATTTAGTTTAAAAAAAGTACCTTTTTTGCAAAGGAAATCAAAGCAAATGCAAAATCTATGCCGCTTTTCTGTTAACGATAGGCTCTAGTTAGTATATAATTGTAGCATCAATCAATTATGAACAAAGAACTGTGAAAACCATTTCAAAATACAATTGTCAATTAGTGAATAAAGAATATTTAAAAAAAATCATTTTATTGGTTTCTCTATAATTGATGTTGATTGTCTGGAGAGTGAGACATTCTTACTCTTGAATATAATATCTACACTAAAGCTGTGATATGGTTCAACATTTAGAATTTAAATAAACTGGGTGCTACTCAACTTATAATAATGATATTGGCCAATTTGAGCAGAAAATTTCCATTTTTAAAAAATCTTGTAAATATATGCACAAAATTGAAAAGTTTTGTGCAAATAAACAAACACATGTTTCATATTCACAACGCAATGAAAAAAATGACTCGTGCCTTTCGGTCTTCATTGAATTACATCGATTAAGGCGACAGTTTCTAACAGCAGAAACATGTCATGATTTTAGCTCATTGATTGGTAATGTATTAATGGAACTAACCAAACTAGCCAAAACAACTTCAAAACGAAACCAACAAAAACTTTTAAAATTCTCAAAATCTCAAGACTAACTCTATAAACTATAGATTCTATACTCGATTGTCTAGCAAACAACTATAACCAATTACGGGGCAAATCTTTTCTATTAATACAGTCACAAATATTGTATTTAAATGAAAATATAACCTATAATCTAAAAGAAATGCATTTTGCTATCTGATTGTGGTGTCTGTTGTAGGAAACAAATATTTGTAGGGCATGTCTTGATTGTCATTAAAATAATCCAACTGGTTGTTTCATTTCCTGCTCCAATATTTACAAAACGATAATTGAATAGCACGCTATTGGTAAATGACAACGAACTCCGTTAAATAGTCTCTGCCATATTCTCCGCGAATCCTTAATTTAATTAATAGTTCATGGAAAATGATTATTTTTGAATAATTTCTGACCCATTTTAGTTCCGTAATAAGATTGTACTTTCATTGGAAATAAAAATTAATTTTTAAAATCAACGACAAAAACAAACGGTTTCGCCTGAGTAGATATTCGCGATGGGGGACGTAAATTAATAATACTGTTTAAAAAAATACCCTCAAATATTTTAAACGCGATCGAACTCGTTTAAATCGTAAAAGCGCGCCCCTGGGTCGTCGGTTCAAAGGAATCCAATTTCTTACATTGTATTAGATTTCGTATTTATTCGTCTTCTCGGGAGATTCTCCCCCAGCTCAGCAAGATCCGGATGGATAAAAAACGTAATCTCGCATTAATTGAAAGCCAACCCTTAATTACAAATTTTGATTGGTTTCGATTTCGGGCGGTAGTTCGGTCAAGTATATTTTGCATTAAATTTTGCCATTTTAAAAATAACAGTTATTCCATCTTTGTCCACTGTATGCGCCTTGAAAAGAAGTGACATATTTAGCGTAACTGACACTTAGGTATTCTGTGGTTTTGATTTGTCCACCAAATTCGGGACGCTTCACATTTTTCAGTACTAAAAACCAGGAAAATAAGGACGGGGCAAATTAAAACTTGACAAAAATCTCAAAATCTTTGAAAAAGCAGTTTATTCTCTGATGCGCGGCAACCTCGACTCGGGACCGCATGCGCGTCCGATTCCCCATCAGCTGTTCGATACAATATGGAAGCACGGCTGTAGTGTTTGTGTTTACTGCGAAAAGTGTTCGATAAACGGCGGTTTCTAAACATCTCGAGCCGTTTTGAACAGGTTCGGTGATCCAGTAGACGAGCAGGCGACACGCAGATAAGTACGTCAATTGTCATCGAGCGGTAGTACCCATGAATAGCGCAAGTTCCTCGGATACGAATGGCTCGAAAACTTATTTCGTGAACTTTAACCAGGACAGCACGTAAGTTTTAGCAGTAAATATGCCATTTTTAGGCGTGCCGCGTAAAGTAACTTTCACCTTTTGAACCTTTACGAAAAAGAACAAAGGATCCAAGGTTTTGACACAGTCTGTGGATCGGGGAGAGAAAGGGAATTTCAATGTCAAAAAATTTAACATAACATTACGTGATTTTTACGCGATCGTTTTGCAATAGCTGACGGCGTTTGTTGTCGTCGTCGAAATCAAACAAAGCGGGTCTCTCTCTGAGTCATTGGCCAACGTTTTCGCGGCGGTTGCGAACAATGTCGTCGCGATATGCGGGTATTTTCATACGCGTCCAAACAAAACGTCGCAGAACCTTGTTTGCCGTTTTTTTTTATCTCGAAACTACGCTTTGTTTTCCGGCGATAAACATTTATTATTAATTGTTTATTGTTTTTGCTACGAGCCGCGTTGCCGGACTGATAGAGTTATGTTCTAGATCCCTAGCGGTCGGCGGCAAGACCGGCTACAAACTCTACTCTCTCACGTCCGTCGATTACCTGGAGCAAATATACAGCAATGGTACCGAGGACTCGTGCATCGTCGAGAGGCTGTTCAGCAGTAGCCTCGTCGCGGTCGTCTCTCTGGCGGCCCCCCGAAAACTGAAGGTGTGCCATTTCAAGAAAGGCACGGAAATATGTAATTACTCATACTCCAACACGATACTGGCCGTTAAACTGAACAGGTAAAGTTTGATTTTGCGGGTTAGAGGTAGAATAAACTCCCAAACACAAGCAATAAACCGAACCTAATCTATCTCTAAGGACTGTTAGTATATATGTTGAGGCTTATTTGGTTACTTTCCTAGTTTTCAAACTATACGGCTCATTTACAAAGTAAATGAACAGTTATTTTGGGGGAATCAGCCGTTGTCCACAAACTAGTAGAGAATTAGTGGATGGTGGATGGCAAAGTATCAATTTCCATTGGTTAATTGGTACATTATTTGAGATTATTGCTTTTATATTAACTAGATATTTCATATAGTTTGTGTACTATTGAACTGTCTTATATATTTGCACCTTATTATCCTTTTTGACAGTCTCCATGGGGTTTCTTTTGAATGTATAACATTTTTATGAAATAGCTATTAAATGTTAAAAGTGCACGTTTATCATAGCCTTAGTTAGACTGAGATATAATGTTATGATGAATTAGTGAGTAGACTTCTTAGTTCTTAGGGTTCTTTTTAGGAAAGTAGTAATCAACAACAAATTTGTTTGTTGTTTGTACATTAACCAGCTAGTTTCTAAACCATCCCTTGTTCATTGCTGTTTTGTGGCAATTGGCTGGTTTTTCCAAAATAACAGCGTCTTTCAAATTAGCTGGTTAGATTAAAAACTAGCGGAATAACTAAATTTAATGGTCACCAAATAAAATTGTTTTATCTTTGTCCTCATATGACCACAGAGGTAGACACTGCTATATCGGTGATTTTTGATTGAGAGACACGCGGATTGTTCTCAGGATGAGGCTGGTGGTGTGCCTGGAAGAAAGCTTGTATATCCACAACATAAGAGACATGAAGGTGTTGCACACGATACGGGACACGCCGCCGAACCCGACCGGTCTCTGCGCGTTGAGCACCAACAGTGAAAACTGTTTTCTGGCGTACCCGGGCTCCGCTACAGTTGGCGAGGTCCAGATATTCGACGCGATGCATCTTAGCGCGAAAACGATGATCCACGCCCACGACAGCCCCCTGGCGGCGCTAGCGTTCAGCCCGAACGGTCTGCGGATAGCCACGGCTTCAGAAAAGGGTACCGTGATTAGGGTGTTTTCGATCGGTGACGGGTCGAAGCTGTTCGAGTTCAGGCGCGGCGTGAAGCGGTGTGTCGCCATGTCGTGTCTCGCGTTCAGCATGTGCGGGCAGTTTTTGTCGTCCAGCAGCAACACGGAGACAATTCACGTGTTCAAATTGGAAGAGTCTAAAGACAGGTAAGTGGAGATGATTTTTTTTGTCACGATGGAAGGTTTTGGGTCACTTGAAGAAGTATAATTATCTTATTATTATTGCAAGTATATAAAGTCATGTTTTAACGACCTCATTAAAACATTAACATAAAAGGTAAGTAAATGACAGTTACATTTTCACAATCTTGCGTTAGAAAAGAAATAAACAAAGCAACAAAATAAAATAATAACTGCGCACCCATATCTTATATATTTGACGTATTGATATTATCGATAAAGAGGTCAATCGCAACTAAGGAGAAGAAATAGTATAATTATTGTTGGTCATCTGCAAACTGATGAGCATTCAGCGAAAAATTAAAAAAGTTGTCTCCTGTGAACTTCTGAAACGTCTGTTTCTGTCCTTATCTATTAAGAAGTTGACCAAATCCAACTTCTTGGCAAGTATATGTGAGCTAGCTTAAATCGCTTATAGAGTATGTAATCTCGTGTTACTTTATCAGTTTTGCTTAATTTTTTATTTGTGAAAGTGTGAAAAAATTAAAAATAAAAAACCTCAATGGGATAGATATGGAAATGGCTTAAATAGATTTCCTCCATGTGCTTTAAAAAACGATGCGTTTGAACTACCGTCAAACCGAATGTAACCAAAACTTTAAATTTTCGCCGTTTCTGTGATTAAATACTCTTTCAGTCCGCGACGAAGCGTCGACGAGACCAGCTGGATGGGCTACCTGACGAATTACCTTCCCACCCAGGTGACGGACGTTTTCACCCAGGGTAGGGCCTTCGCCACGGCTTATCTGCCCTACGGCGGCGTGAGGAGCGTAATTTCGATAGTCTTGTAAGTTTCGCATACCATCAGGCGCATCTGGAGCCTTCGGCAGTGTAATTAGTCGGGTGTATGCAATTGCTTCGTGATTTATTATTATTATTATTATTATTATTATATTGTTAAGCAGTAGGCGGCAAAGACGGTAAAAATTGCACTTTAATATATGTATATTCACTATATACAGAAATCACATATGTCACACAGTGTTCACTGTCGACAAAATTATCAAGTCTATTCTTAAAGCTATTCAGGGTAGGTACAGTCAGAATATCGTCTGATAAACTGTTCCACTCATTTACAACACGGTTTGTTTTACATTTTTGATGTGAAAGTCTATGACAGAGTTCAGTGTAGCCAATTTTAACGAATGGTTATTGTCATTTCGATGAAAAAATCACACGAGTAGTAGTCATGCAGGATTGTGTAGCATTCAATTAAGTCCCATCTTCTTCTCCTTTATTCTAAGAAGACATTTTAATCGATCTTCATATGGAAGGTTCCTTAAAGATGGTGAGATCTTTGTGGCTCGCCTCCGAACCCATTCCAGAAGATCTATGTTCTTTTCGAAGTATGGAGACCGCGCAACTACATCATGTTCCGGGATGGTCTGACGAAGCTTTTATAGGCTCTAAGAAAAAATTCTTGGGGCATCTTGAAAACACGTCGTATCATGTAGATTAAAGTGTTGGCATGTTTTACTCCGATATTAGAACACCTAGGTTTTTCTGTTCACTTACTCACTTACTATATAAAGCGTTGTACTTTTGTGTCATGTAAAGTTGGGTCTCCAAAAATGTGTCTCTATGGTACTTTTTTATTTGTCGCGTAAGGACGGCGAATAACATTTTCTCTAGATTTTTTTACATCGGACCTCTTGTCGGTGATCATATAACGTCGACCTTTTGCAGCATCCAAGGGTGTTTGAGGGTGCTGGTCGCGACCGAAGACGGCGCCCTCTATATTTACAACCTCGACTCGAACGAGGGCGGCGACCTCGAGCTCTACAAAAAGCACCAACTCGAGGATGGCACGTCCGACTCGACGGACTCCGCCGCGGTAGCATCGCCCCCGGCAAACGCCGAGCCCCAAGCCATCCCGGGGGCAGCGGGTAAGTCTAACGCGCGCTGATGGGGGAGGTGGCGGCCTCCCGCCCGAAACGTGCTGCTTCCTCCCGTTTTTTGTTAACGTGATGTGTAGTTTGAGTTTTTTAGGAGTCGCGTGTACTTGCTAAAGTGTAAGGGCACTCGAGAGTGTGGGGGAATCCGTATTGGTGATTCCTTCGTTAAATCGATAGTGCCGACAGTGCTGTAGTGTTCTTTTTTTGTCCCCCCCCCCCATTTTCTAACATTGATTTTCTCCCGTTTACGAAGCGTGTCCGACGGCCACGCGCTCCACTGAGCCCAAGAACCTGGACCAACATCAGTTCACGCGTCAAAATATTAATTTCGTTTATCTTGACAATAATGTCATCCACATTAATATTGCTTCTTGAATCATATTATTTGCGTACTACATCATTGAATCCAAACAAGGTCGATTGTGCTTTGCGGCTGCGCAGTGGCGGTGGCCGTCGGGAGCGCGACCTAACCTTTAAAAAAATGGAAAAAATGGTTTTCTCGCAGAGAGTCGATCATCCCCCATCCCCCCGCCCCTCCGTTTACCCGTGTACAGTAGCGCTACGCCGTTACCCAATTACCCGACCAATACACGATTTCTCTCTGTTACGCAAGGCCTTCTAGGTAGCTACGCAGGCATCGTGAAAGGGAACCCGTCCGGCCAAATGTCAGGTACTGGTCAGTATTAAAATTTTAATTACGCGCGGCAAGCGACGCGTCGACGCGTTATCGTGACGTCACGCGTGTACGGAGTCGTGAAAACATTTGGGAAAACGTTTTCATCGGCCTCTTATACGTACGAACCGATCGATGGATCCCCCGCCGGTGTTAAGCGATTCCGTCCGATGGGTTTCTTTTGTAACGTTATTTTGTGCGTGTGTGCCGCTAGACGAGTTGTTAATCGGCCTGCATGGTTCGAATTTTTGATTTTTTACTAACAAGGTGACGCTCGCTGTCCCCCCAACGTCGTAGTTATCCGTTCGCTGACCGGGTTCATTTGAACTATCGCTACCGCGCGCAGAAACCGGCTCGTTTCCGCGCAGTAGGAACGCCAACGTTTATTGACCCAGTTCATTTGAACTACTGCCTGGATTAAAATTTATTGTAATGAAAAGACAGTAAAAATATGAACTCCTTTCGGCAAAACCTCATTGCTAAGTCTTATACCGATTCTGATCTCATTTCTTTTCGAATTCCTAGTTTCATTTTTATAGCAATTTCGGCCTTGTGTAGCTTCACTTATATTTACAACAGAACTTCAAAAGTTGATAGTACTTTTAAAATCAAGGAAGAAAGTTTATAAAAGGTAGAATAAAAAATATCAAATTCAAGATAAGCATAAACAAGTATAATATCGCGGGGCAATATTTACTTCCTACAACTACAACTACAACTATTTAACCTACACTTTTACTTGACCTTTGAGTACCGTTAGTGTTACAAAGAATTACAGTTGCTCGAAATATTACAGTAAGTGACATCTGTTACTCTTTAGACCTTAATTTCAAAAATTCTAAAAGTGAATTACATAATAAACCTAACAGGCATTTTTTTCTTTGCTTTTTGTTTCCAGTTGATCGCGTATCAAAACTGCTGTCACTTATTAATAAGTATAAAGCTATTATTTAACAATTTTTTAACTTGCGTTGGTGACGTTCGTTAGACCTTATTCTGTTTTGTGCATAAAAGGAAAGTTTTAAAAATTGTCTCGAACCCTGCAAACATTACGTTGAGCTACGTTAACTCACTTACTAACCAAATAATCATCTAGGATGATTTAACCCATAATTCGGAAATGTCTTATATTAAATAAGGAATGTTATATATAAATTATGTAGAGTAAAAGTAAAAAGAACAACGAACTCCTTATATTTAACTGAACCTTTTTTTTTTTTTCATTATCATTATCCTTTCTGGGTTATTAAATTTCTGGAGAATCATAAAATCGGATGTTAAACTACGGAGGGCTAAACAGAAGAAGCAAAATGCGTCGGGAATTAGTCATGTATATGTAGTAAAAAATAATTCCCAACAGGTATTCGCTTGTGTATTTACTTTATGCCCATCGAAGTCGTTATCAACATATCTTCTTTTTTTTGGCCCTCCGCGCGTTTGAACTACTCGATCGCGTTTTGGTTCGTTTGAACCCGGCCGGGGGCGGGCTTGCCGTATTTTAACACTTAACTCAAGACTAACCCTTTTAAAGTATATCCGTCGCTAATGTTTACCGGTTAAAAATGCACCGCTCGGCCTGATGTCCTTGTTTCCGTATACCCAGAGTCGGACAAGCTGCGAGAGATGGCGCAAGCGACCGAGTCCCCGCCCAAGGACGCTTTCCAGTTCGGCGACGACCAAGAGTACCCGCCACTGACCCAAAACAGCGACTGAGGCCGCGCATCGCACGACGTCCACGTCAGGCTGATGTTTTTCACGATAATCCTGATCCACGTCGCCGTGCGCACCGCAGAGGACGCAATTTTTTATTTCGCGGGACATTAGGCTTTTTTTTTTTTCATTGTATCAGTCTATTTTTCTTTTGCACGCGGTGATCGAGCGACTCTGCCGGGCGTTTGACACAGAAACAGAAATCGTCTGTTGAGAGAACCGATCCGTGTAACATTTTAACATATCAAAAAGAAAACTCGAAAAAAAAAATTAAACGAAAATTACTTTTTTCTTATTAATATTAATAAAAGAACAATATTTTTAGGGTTAGTTTTTTAAGTAGATAAGCCGAAAAGGAGAGCGCGCGCGTGTGTATATAATAATGTAATAGGAAAAGTTTTGTTTAATTTGACGTTAAATAATTAGGTTACCAAAAGTATATTACATGGAGGGTAATTTTTAGCTATTTATTTTTATGTTGGAAGACTCCCTAGCTGGGTGAAACGTTTAAAGTACCCCGCGGTATACTCCGTTTGGCGCAACGCGGGCGTCGTTTTGCGTCATCGGTCATTTGAACTACCGCGGGGGCATGCGCAAAGTCGTTTTCGTTTCCCCACCACCGCCCCGACATCATATTTTTGAGCTTTGTACATAAAATACGGTTAAGGCTCGATCGAGGTACATGTCTTTTGCGTTTTTGTGTGCTACTACACTTTTTGTACATGCCAGTTAGTATATGTATATTTGTATCGAAAAAAAATATATGTAACCTAAAATAGTATCAGTTTCATTTCAAATAAACAAATATGTCGCTCTCAACAACTGATTCTTTTTGTGAAGAAACTTTCCTCTTTCTAGGATTGTTGGCCGAAGTCAGGCTTTAGATGGGGGGTTTCAATACCAAAGGTTGATTTCTGTTCGCCTGTCTTTCTTTTATTTTTCTTTCCCATCCTTCTCAACTAAAACACACTAAATCCGTCGTCTACGTCGTTGTAGTGAAGGATGGACTTTTTTTTATCAGTCTCTTTTCTTGTGTCACGCGCTTTTTTTAATTTTCTGACAATTTAAAGTATAGATTGTTTACTTAGTTCACTGATAAACTTTACTAAAACTTGTCTGTGTTTCTTTTCACCAATATTAAAGAAATTATCCAGATCACCGATTTTTATGCTAACTTCTACCCTGTTATTGAAAACATCCATCATTTAGTGGTACAATTTCTTCCTCAGAAAGTCCAATTGAAAGAACATTTTTCCTCTGTAATATTTTATCTTGAAATGCAATTTTTTGTTTAAGCTTAATATTTTCCGCGTGGAGGGCTTCCACTGTATTTTTCAATTCAGAAAAATCTAGTTTGGCAACCAACACATTCCTTCAGTCACTTTACATTAGTAGTTTGGTAAATCACTTTAAACCACTAGAATTTGAAAAGTTTCGGGAGCAACACCCGTGCCTCTAAATCTGAACTGCCTAGTTCATAGGTCCCTCCAATTTTGTTTTCGAATAAAATTGACTCCTTCCCATCCCCCGGTGGTGACAAAATTTAAACGCACAAAGTGTTGTTTTGCGATCGGCAGTGGCGTCACGTCTTGTTTTGGCCATTCGCTTTTTGACGATACCCGATACCAATCGTCGGATACGAGTTATCAGGTAATTAGTTTTAATTGAAATAATTTAATATCTTATGTAATAATTGTAATTTTGTTAGTCGTGGACGATTAAGAAGCGTGGGTGTTTTACAACTCGGCAACCTGGTACTTTAAAGATCTCTCTAATCTAACCAATAAATTGGTAGTCGTGGCCATAGAAGTAAAGCAGAAGAATCAAAAAATTCATAAAAAAAGACACCGGTTTTACTGCGTTTCCGTAGCATTTATTAAATTTTTGCCATTCAAACGGTACGAATATTAGATAAAATGAAACCGATACATTATTATATTTACACAACAAATAAACCAGCTTTATCATTCTTGTCGCGATTCTCGCGCATGCGTGCGTGAATTTACCCTTTCTACAACTAAAAACAACTCCAAATTAAACGACGAATCGTGTGAAAACAACACAGGAATAACGCCGACGTTATTATCGCGACTGATAACATATCGCGCAGCTGTGTCTATCGGCGTCGTTAAGGAACGTGCATCGGGAACAAGTCCACTTCTGGCCGCTCGATGTATTCGTCGAGGCGGATATACTTCCCGATGCCACACTCCCAGGCCTAAAAAACACCACACATAACCTCAAATTTCGTACTGTTATCATACAGTCGATATGCTCTATGAGAAACTTAATTTAAGGATTTTTTGGATCAAATTTATAGTTACACAAAAAACAACGTCTAATTGATGGCATTTCTACAAAAATCGCTAAAGGAAACCCACTAATGTAAACCCATAGAAGTCACAACAAAAATGACCACAGCACGTACTCACTGACAGCGGTTTTGCATAATTTGATGCGTCGTGTCACGAGGGCGTTTTATGAGTTTTATGAATGAGTTTGTTTCATTTTTATTTCGACATGTTGTACGATTGAAAAGTTATTTAACTGATGAGCATAAACAACGGATTTTCTTGTCTGGGAAAAAGCTAATCAGTTATTTTTTTTTATTAGCACATGAAACTATAAGGACAAATATATTTGCGCAATAGGTAAGGTAATAAACAACCAGTTGGCTGGATTTTAAATCTTGACGTTGAGTTTATCTGTTCTTAAGGAAGGTCCAAACCAAAGGTTTTGTAGTTCAATTATTCATTTGTTATGTAAATAATAAAAAAAGAAAAACAAAAAGAAAGTAAAACTCTCGATGCTGTGACAGTTAAAAATCAATTTTAAGCAACTATATGTTATCCCTCTAATTCTTCATTAATTCATAATTATTTATAGTAAATTCCTTTTCTTACAAGTTCCTTTAAATCATATTACGTATCAATTTAGTAAGTATGCATAAGCCTATGAATTTATATGATTAAATAGCACACTATCGATTTTTTAACTAAGTCCCAGTTTTTGTAATTGTAACAAAACCATTAATGAAATATCCAGGCCTCCACCACAGTCTCCACGGGGATCGGTCGCCCCTCAACTGCCAGGACCAATCGAATCATAGAATGTATTAATTCTATGGTTAAAAACTTTACCTCGAAGGCGGCGGCGAGCTGGCCGCTATCAGCTGCTCCAGAGTGGCCCAATGGTCGGACCTGGACCATTCTATGGCCGCGGCACGGTCTTTACGGCGTAAGGCATCGAGGAGGGGGTCCAGATAGTCCCGCATCGGCAACATGTCCATGGTGGCAACGTACACCAGCAAATGAAAGTCGTTGATCGAATTGTAAAACTCGTCGAAGGCAAATTGAGACAGATAAGTGGAGAGCGCGTTGAAGTCCTGGATGTGACCGTCGATAAGACGGTTCTCCACCGGGAATGGCTGCTTCGATGTGTCGGTATTAAACGTGTACTGCGGGTTGACCGGAGAAGAAGCCGGCACATCCACGAGCAAGTACTCGACCGGTAGCGGTCTTGCTAAACGGGACACTTCGTTGCCGTAGGTGTCCTTTTCCTGTAATCGGGAAAAGCGGACGTTAATTTCAAATTCGAATCAATATGGATAGAGGCCCCGCGCTCCCACCATACGTTAATATATTCGACGCACGCGTACTAAGTCGTCGTTTTCGCAGCGTCAGTCAAAGATGGCGCTAGCGGCCGCCAAGCCGACGAATCATCGATCGGCGTTCTTTCCGAGAAACGTGGGCCGAGTAGAGCTGGGCAATTAATACGAATCCTACCTCTGTCAAGCCGATGAATAGTCAAGAACACTTTTTTACACGGAATTTCTCGTTTTGTAAATTTTAAAAACCACATTAAATAAAATGCAGCCAATGCACAAGTTTATGCGAAAAAAAAAACAATAGCATCCATTTGCACGAGAGTCCTGATGCTCCAATAAGTTCGTTCGTTCCGTGTCCCGCTCTACTGTGACACCGACGTGAACATAGGAACGACGCGGTCGGTGGCGTTCTGCGGCCAACTTAACGGTAAAACTCGGTCGGTTCCGCGCGGCCTCAAGGCAGTCGTCAACATGATGTGGCACATCGCGTAGCGGCCACCGATAATTTTAAGTTCGTTTTCGTATTAAAAAACAAAACCCGGCCGAAACCCGTCGGCGCTAAACAAATATTATGTAATGTACACATCGTTAAGTACGCGCATCGTACGCCGTTTACGTTATCCCGGACCGCAAACCAAGTACAAAACCCCGAAAACATAAGAGAGAAAAGCGTATAACCCGACGAAAACTGCGTGTTTTTCTTTTTCTTTTTAGCGAAACCGACCAAATACAAACGTATCGCTCTTTTATCGGATATACATTTAAAGGCTGTGTTACACATCGTATAATTTTAACGGTAAGGAAATATGTGCGATAAAAACGGGAGACGGTGTGGTTACGATTTTGACGTGATGTAAGACGCAGAAAGCCACTTGTTTGTACGCTGTCCCCTCCTGCGTTCCCGGTTTCCCGGACGCGATTTTTGGCGCCAAGCGATCGTTTTTCTCGAAACGATCGATCGCAGGTCCGTGCGTGGCCCCGAATAACGCGTCGTCCGTCCGTTTTCCTTTGTGGACGAGCGGCGGCGGCAAATCGTAACGACTCCGGATCCTCTCGCGTGTCTGTGTGTGCGTGCCGCGATAAAAAAGGCGAACCTAACCAACAAATCGTGCGGCCAGAAATAAAATACAAATACCCCCACACACGGGATCTCTTATTTGGCTCGTTCGGAAACAGATTTAGGTTAGGAGACGCGTCAACAACGGCGTGTCGCCGAAAATATACGTACGAACAAAAAAGATGCGTCGAGAGGCGGCCGAATATGTCGGTAAGTCCTTTTGGGAGATTAAGTGCGCGATTTCTGCTTTGTTTTTGCACACATCTCGAGCGGCTGGCTGTATCAATGAATCACGAGTATGTATGCTTGCGTGTGGTGATCGATTGATGTGAGAGAGTGTGTGTTTGTCCGCACGCATTTTTTTTTCGCGTTTGCCGCCGAAAATGTCGCGGACGTAAAACGTTCAAGGCCGGGCCGAATCAATAATTTGCAATAACAATTCCTTATCAGTGGCCGTGCCGTCAACAGCGACGACCACCGGGCTTTGCAAACACGTAAAACCGGTCGTTGCCAAATAATTCGGCTGCGGGAGGGGCCTTTTAATTGGCCCGAGGGTAATGAGGCGCGCGGGCGGCCTCGAGTTGCGAGAAAAATTGGCAAAAATTGTCCGCCATCTTTCGCGTCCGAGTGTCGCGCGCCATCTTAATTCAAATTTCGAAATTTTTTTCGAAATAATGCGGTATAAAGATGCCGAACCGAAAAAGAAGTTAAGGAAATGTCGAACAAACTCAAATTTTGAAAGTTTCGTGAAGCAAATAAAGTTTTTTCGAAGTCGGATAAAAATCTCAATAATTTTAGTGTAAACAGCGTTTTTTTTTTTATTGCGGAAAAAATAGATTTTCCAGTCCCGATACAATAAAAATGAAAAATAGTACAAAAAAACGCTTACATAAACAAATGAGCTTCTGGAAAAAAAATCAACGCTTTTTGTTAACATACCGAATGGACCATTTGGTTTTTTTTTTTAAATAACACCCAGTAGAGTGAAAGGACAACATAAAAACTTTTATTTTTCGTTTTTAAACGTTCTTTTAATCATTACCGAGCAATTAACCTTCAAAATAAAAAATTATGCATTTTAATTGGCATCCAATTAGGGAAAATATAGTACACAGTTTTTTTTATCTTTAATTTTGTTCGGGAATTTTTGGATGGTAAAATTTGGGTTGAAAAAACTCATACGACTAAAAATGGACGCTACATTTCGTTTGTTGACGAGCCGAACATTTTCTTTGAAATTAAAAATTTAATAAAAACAATGCGGCAATACAAGTAGGAACCGATGACAAGGTACGTAATTTAAGCTTCGCGTCAATCCGGATTACCGTGTGTCTATATATTCAGACGATTTTGGCGGGATTTATGGGGAGATTTAGCAAAAAAAACGGGCGCTAGCCTTTAAAGTCAAAGATGAACGCGGAAAGAGAAACGAAAAAAAAAATCTCGGACGTTTTCAGAAATGGAACCCGTCGTATCGGACTTCGAAGAGCTGATGCTGTGCGGCTTCTGCAAGCAGAAATTCAACGACACCGACCAGAGTCCGAAGCTGCTCTCGTGCAAGCACTACTTCTGCCTGCAGTGCACCCGCACCAACCTCGTCAAGGGCCAGGAGCTCTACTGCGTGTACTGCTGGAAACGGACCGAGGTAGGGGACCTGGGGCCCGAATCGCTGCCCACGTACGCGCCGGTGCTCTGCCTCGCGAAAAACTTCGCGCAGCTGAACCTCGGACTGAAACCGCCCGACAAGGGGTCGGCGGGGGGCGCGGCTGCGGCCGCCGCCGCCTCCGCCAAGGTCATCTCCGAGAACTGTCACACGCACGCGATGCCGCTGGCGCTCTGGTGTCAGACGTGCTGCGCGCCGGTGTGCCGCGCGTGCGCAAACACCGCGGACCACGCGAACCACAAGATAAAGTCGCAGAACGAGGCCAAGGACCAATTGGTCGCCGAGATGCAGATCGATCTCGCGTCTATGAACAAAATGCTGTCCGAGATCCAGCGATTGGCGATGCAGCAACGCGAGTTCCTCCTCAAGATACTCGAGGCGTGCGTGACGCTCAAGACCCACGTCGAGGCGGACCTGACGACGAACACGTCGCATTTCGAGTTGGGCGAGACGCGCGACCTCCTCGCCAAGCTCCGCCTCAACCTGTCCATGGCCGAGAACCTGTCCGAGGTGCAGAACATATTCGCCAGCGTCAACGTCGAGAAACAACGTCTCCAGGTGCGCTACCAGGAGATGTACCTGCAGTGTCAGCTGGACGACCTCATACGCAACTCGTCGGTCGTGTTCGACTTCCAGCTGCTCAAGCAGGCCCTCAACAACATCCACAACGGGGAGGCGGTGTTGCCGAGCAACTCGCGCGTCCTCGCGCCCTCGCAACAGAACCCGATCCTCTTCCTCGCCAACTACTGCATGTCGCAGCTGTACTCGCGTCACGTCGTCTCCAAACAGCCCGTGAACGGTACCCTCGACTACCACAACCAGAACGCCGCCTACCTCGGCGGCACCAACCAGCAACAGCAGCAGCAGCACCTGGTGCTCGCCACTCCGAAAAACATCTACCAGGACAACAACCTCATGATGCAGACGATGATACCGTCGCCGCAGATACGAAACCCGTCCGCGATGTGTCCCCTGTACTATTTCAACATCGAGGTGAACGGGGCCCAGATGGGACGCATCGTCATCGAGGTGAGGGCGGACGTGGCGCCGAAAATGGCGAAGAATTTCGGCGTGCTGACGACCGGCGAGGCGGGCATGGGATACAAGGGCTGCCAGATATTTCAGTGTTGGGAGGGCGAGAGCGTCATCACCGGCGACTTCGAGTTGAACAACGGCCGCGGCGGCCGTTCCATATTCGAGGAGTCGTACTTTCTGCCGGACGACACGAAACTGCTGGCGTCGCGAGGCACCGTCGGCATGCGACGCACCCAGAAACGTCACGACAACCTCGGCATGGTCGGCTCGCAATTTCGCATCATCCTGCAGGAGATGCGCGGCTTTACCGGCATATTCGGACACGTCGTCGAGGGAATCGAACTGGTGGAGAAGATCAGCACGTACGGCGACACCGCGGGGAAGCCCACCAAAAACATTCTCATAGTCAAGTGCGGTAAGCTGCAGTAACCGATGCGCGCCGTTACGACAATAAAAGGCGGGATTTTTTTTGGCGGGGGGAGGTAGAACGTACATAATCAAAACGCCCCCGTGCCCGCGGGGAGGGGAGGGAAATAGGACAGGGAGAATGTTTGCCAAAATCGTTTATCGGACGCACGCGCGGCGGCGCCTCGATCGCCCGACGGACCAACCGTTTATAATCAAAAACGCGACCCACGTTGCCGGAATCTGTTTTGACCCGTTCGAAGACTATTTATTTATTTACGTTAAATACCGAAAAATGGTTTTTTTTTAGCTCGCCGCAAGCTCGAGAATCCAGGTCTGCGGGCCCGACGAGAAAACAAATCCGGAAAGAAATTAATTTCGATTTCGATCGACTCTCGCGCGTTCCCAGTGATACGTGACGTCACGTCGCGTCCGATTTTAAACTCATGCGTGTATATTTTACGCGGTCGATCGGTGTTTATCGAGGTTCCGCCGTATAAAAGTAGTTATTTAAGTACCCTACGATCTAGGCTAAGTTCTGTTCGGTGTAACGCATCATAACCGTAGCTTAAACAAAAAAAAATGCAAAACGTATTAAAAAAAATACAAACTAGGTGTTTTATGTGTAGCTTCGTCAGGAAAAAACTCGAGAGGAAATAGCGTACAGCCCGTATATTTAAAAAAAAAAGAAATAAACGAATTTCGAGATACATATATATAACTATATTTTCATATTGTGAAACTATCGAAGAAAAAAACTAATGGACCGATATTTTTTATTGTTGACTTTCGCGCGCGCGCTTGTGAAACGTTTAGGTTATATTCGACGACGACGACGACGGAAGGGACGAATATCGTTAAAGGTGCAGAGTTTAACGCGTGATTTGGCCGAAGAAATTTGAATCGGAAATAAACCCGCTTTCCTTTTTACAATGGTGTATAGCGTTCGTAGCGAGTTTAAAAAAAAACTTAAAAAACATGCTTCCCTACTTTTTTTTAATGATTTACGATATACGATTGTATTGTATACCTTATAGGAGCGTAGATAAGAAGGAGTGCAATAATAATGCATTTCGTTTTTTTTTTTTCATTTTGCACCGACTACGGTTTGTTTTTGTCTTATAAATTAGGCTTTTTTTTTTTCGTTTAGCGTATAATTAATGATAATTGTATTGCGGCGCGAACGGATCGGCGCCTCCAAAGCCGCGGCCGCCCCGTATCGGCGCTCTGGACGCCCCGATCGCCGCGATTAACCAAAGTTGTGTGTGGCACGTCGTTTTTTGTAGGGATCCCCCCGAAACCCCCGTCAGGTTTCGGTTTCGTTGGGTAAACGAAGTCGTAGTGTGACGTAACGGACTTTTTACGAAAATAAATACCTTTGGAAGCATTTTATTTTGTTTTTTCGCGGCTCCCTTTTTCATTCCGCCCTGTCCCACGGTTTTACCACCACTAAACGATAATCGAAAAGGCTCAATAACCGATTAAAACTCGCAACGAGCACAGTTTTCTACAGGAAGTGGTCCTAAGAAATGAATTACGACACTCCCTACTAATTATTCATGACCGCGGGATGTTGACAAAACCGGGCAGTCAAAACTATCAATAGCATTAAATATAACGGATTTTTTGCACCTCGTATGAAATTTCACCCTTATGTGACTAGAAATATTAGTTCATCATGTTTAGATTTCGTTGACGTTACATTAAGAGAGCAAATAATCAGTTAGACGTCTGTGGTTAAGGGATTATATTAATTCCGAGTTTATTACGTTTTTTCAAAGAAAAAATTGTGTTTGTCACAATGGAAAAGGTGTTTGGGGATGTTTTAAGGTATGCAGAAGAGCATTTGGCATGAAAGAAGCATTATTATGAGGTTTTAGGCAGACCTTTTAATTTAGAAACAATGTTAGGGACCTTCCTGAATTATATACCCCAAATCATTTAGGCCACCCGCAGCAGCACCAGGTTTTCCAATATTTTGCATTTTCGAAAAAAAAAATGTCTGCCGCAAAAATTTAACAACTATATGTAACAACCATAGAAACGACTTCTTTGTTTGTTATAAAGAAATTATTAGACGTTGTTGATACATAAGATGTTTATTAGAATAAAAAAGAAAAAACTAGTAAAATAAAAATATTTAAACAGTTCAAATACAATGAAATAAAAGCATTTTTTGTTATCGCAACGCACAATATTTGCTATTTTCGAGACTTATCGAGTGTGGCGTTGAATTTTATCGCTTAACAAGGGAAAACGTTCTTTGTTATCAAGCGCGCACGTTTTAAGAGGTGCAAAAAGTCCCGATAATCAAATTAAACTAGTTAAGTCAAAAATCACAGTTACCATCCACTCTCCCCAGACTCCATGGCCGACGCCCTTTTTTTTTTCTTTTTAATACTTACGACGGCAGATGCATCGTTTACCTTTCGAAGTGGAAACTCAGGTGCGCGGCAGGGCCTAATAACGTCAAGGAAAACAAAAACAGATAACGGAACGGTACTCTGACAATTCTTTTACCCGACAACGAAGCGTCTTCATTTTGCCAGGTCGACACACGCGCCAAAAAGCATATCATTTTTCTTACCGATGATCATATTTTTTGCGAGTCTAAATTGTTTCGTGCCTTAGTATTTAAGCTATCTAGAACTTTACGACGTCAACTCGACTTTGTGTTTCTTTCGCACGACAAAAATGAAAAAAAAAAGTACAAACGTTCGTAACTCGTGATGCGGATTCGGCACAAAACACTTCTAAATCACGTAAACTGCAAAACGATTTCGGTTCAGTTATCACCTCTCGATCAGTGTGCTTTTAGGCGACCCAGTTCGAGCAAAATCAATGTAAGATAGATTAAATCGTATTTAATATGTAAGTAATTAGGGAGTATATCGTCTTCTGTTTGTAAACGTTCAACCGACAATAAAGACGAGCGGAAAATTTGTCCAGTTGGCCGCGGCAAGTTTGACATTTGACAGTTGAACCGCCGCCACCTTGACGAGTTCCGCCGACAAATCGAGGTTATGAAAACTCTCCGTACCGAATGGATATCAGATACATTACCCATCCCTTAGACATAATATGTGTAACGAACGTTCGCTAGTGTCCATACTTTAAGAATGTATATCATAGATGTTAAAGCGTTTATGTGTGTTAGGCTAGTAATTGTATTTTAAATCGGTTACGATTTCTGTAAACCCAAACGCTCCCATCACGATTAAATGTAAGCGACCCCGTATCTGTCTCTATCCGCCGCTCTGTCGACTCGCGAAGAAAACTCAACAGTAGATGCCAGTGTACGTGCCTTGTTAACCCGACTCGATATTTGTGATAAAAACCGAGTACCTACCACCTCACACAAACACGTTAGATTTCAAAAATAAACATTTCCGCATCTGTAATCGTCACGAATTGTGTTTTAATTTGCGCACTTCGTCCGCCACTTTTATTCTGAAAGCAGCCATTGCCCCAGAGTGGATGTAAGTAAAAGTAAAAGATCAGTAAAGAAAAATTACCTAATACCAAGATCTACTAGAATAACCCCAAAAAATAAAGAACACGGCCGAGAAATAAATAAGGTGTCGAACGGCCAATCGACGAAAAAGAATAAGAACTAATTTAATTTTAATTTTAAGGAACCGGCCGACATTAAAACAAATTTAGAGTAAATTTAACAACACCTACTAGAATAAATATAAAATAATATGACGACTATTTAAAGATCCAAAAGAGTTACGCGTACAACGGCCGATCGACGAAAAAGAGGAAGAACTTTGACAGGAACAAAACTAATCTAAGGCCGATCGACGAAAAATTTGGCGTAAACGTATTTACCTAAGAACCTAAAATAATCCGAAATGATAAACTAAAACGGCCTGAGAAAGAAACAAAATATAAAATAATATGACGACTGTTTAAAGATCCTGAAGGGTAACATGTAGAAGGGCCGAAAAAGAAGAATTTTGACAGGAACAAAACTAATCCAACTACCCTTGAGCCGACATTTAGATACATTTAGCGTAAACTAATTACCTAAGAACAAGGCCTCCCGGAATAACCCTAAATAAGAAACGAACACGACCATAGCGAGAAACAAACTACAAAATAATATGATGACTATATAAAGATCCAGAAGCGTAACGTGTGAAAAGGCCGATCATCGAAAAAGATGAAGAATTTTGATAGGAACAAAACTAATCAGACGAGTCTTCGGCCGACATAAATTTAGCGGAAACTAATTGCCGAAGAATAAGACCTACCAGAATAATCCTAAATAAGAAAGGAACACGACCATAGAAAGAAACAAACCATAAAATCATATGAGGAGTATGAAACACCCAGGAGCGTAACGTGTCGCACGGCCGATTTGCGAAAAAAAAAGAATTTTGACAGGAACAAAACTAACCTTAGGAATCGAAAATGGTAAGGAACCATTGTACATGACAAACGTTTGTTCCAGACTGGTTCCAAAAAAAGTTATGTCGGTTGAAAAAAAATTGATTAGTCTATCTTTTAATTGAATTGTTAGAAGCGTAGTGCTTTTACTGTATTGGTCGGTTTCCGAATGTCTCATACTCACGCTGGTATTCAGGCCAGATGAGATCGGATATCCCGTGTGAGATAATTGCTGGGGCCGTTAAATGAATCGACCGTCATTTTATGACTAATTATTTACAAGTTTATTCCACTGTATGAATATGTTAACACACCTGAGGAAGATGGAGTAGTCCAGACCCTTTCTCTATGAATTTTGAATGATATTTACCAATATTTATAGCCTGGCCCAATGACCTTTAGTAGTAGTGGCCATTAGAATAAAAAACTCAAGAGCCTTGGACCGACATTTAGCGTGAACTTATTTTCCTAAGAGCAACACGTTCCAAAATAATCTTAAATAAGAAAGGAACACGACCATAAACAAAAAAAATATAAACTAATATGACGAGAATTTAAAGATCCAGATAATGTCTCGAGCGGTCAATCGAACAAAGAGACGAAGAATTTTGACAGGCGACCATAGAAAGAAACAAAATATAAAAAAATGTGACGAGTATTTAAAGCCACAGAAGCGTAACATGTCGAACGGCCCATGGATGAAAAAGAAGAACAATTTTGACAGGAACAAAACTAATCCAGTCAGGGTTGCACCGATATTTGGATAAAATGAGAGTTAACTTATTACCTAGGAAGAAGGCTTACTGCAATAATCCGAAATAAGAAAGAACGCGTCCATTGGCAGAAGTAAAAAACAAAATGATGTAATGAGTATTTAAAAAGCCAGAGGTGTAATGGGTCGTGCGACCAATCCAACAAAAAAAGAAGAATTTTGACATGAACTAAACTAATCCGATGAGCCGTGGGCCGACGTTTAGATACATTTAGAGTAAACTTATTACCGTAAAAGAAGAGCTACTAGAATAATCCGAAATAAGAAAGAACAAGACCATAAAAAGAAATAAAATACAAAATAAAATGAGGAGTATTTAAAGATCCCGGAGTGTAACATATTGAGTGATCAATCGAACAAAAAAAAGGGTTTTGACACAAACAAAACTAATCCAGTGAACCTTGGGCCGTCCTTTAGATAAATCTAAAGTAAATTTATTACATAATAAGAGGGTCTACTTCAATAATTCGAAATAAGAAAGAAAACTGTGAGGGCAAGAAACAAAATATATAATAATGTCGGGAGTATTTAAACATCCAAAAGAGTAACATGTCGAACAGACAATTCAGTGAGACTTGGACCAACATTTAGAGTAAACTTATTACCTAAGAAGCGGGCCTACTGCAAGAAAGACCAAAAAAAATAAGAAATAAAGTATAAAGTAATGTGACGGAGTATAAAAAGATCCAAGGGCCTGGCGGGTCCAGCGGCCAATTGAACAAAAAAATGAAGAATGAACAAAACTAGTCCAATGAGAGTTGGGGAGACATTTAGATAAACTTACCTTGTAGTATACATCCGGGACATACTGCTTGTCGGAAGATTCCCGCACGTAGCCCAATTCAGGTGCGTCCTTGGTCGGGAGCAGGCAATTATCCCTCACCAGCGCCATGCATTGATTAGATACCTGGTAACCTTCCATGTGAACCTGGTTTGTTTTATCACCTATAGAAAAGGAAAACGCGTTATAACCTTCAAATAAAAAAAAAAATTAAATCGGACCGAAGAAAAAAAATCTAACCTGTGACGCAGACGGTCACGAATTTCGAGCCGAAATATCCGCTCGATGCGAAACGACAGGCGTTAGGATGACGATTTTGAAAATGGCCGGCCATTATGCACTCCTGGGCCGATAGGAAATGCGAGTCGACATTCCGCGTGTGTTTCACAGTGCCCTTCTGGATATCGTCGGGCATCAGGTCGGTAAAAATCCAACCGACCTTTCTTAGTCCGAGGTGCTGGGCGATTTGATCTACGACTTCTTCTTTTTCGTCGGGCAGCAGACGGATGGAGTCTCGTGAACTTTCCTGCGGCGGTTCGTAAATTGCAACGACGTTAGCTCTGATACCTACAATTAAAATAGTTTTACTGCTTCACCATGGAATGAGTGTGTTACATTACCCAACGGGACGTCGGAGTGTATTTCGTAAGTGCCGTAGAGGTACCCGATTCTTTGATGTCCCGTCAAACGCCAGTAGTTTAAAAATTTCTCAACCAAATTTGTGTTTTCGAATGCTACATTGTCGATATGCCGATAGGTTTGCATATTGAGGGTGATAGCGTTCGGTTGACATTTGGAGCAAATGCCTTTCGGCCACGGTGGATGATCCTTGCATCCATTTCGAATGCTGCAAGAAACATCTTCCAAAGCGAGAAACTTGCCTCTGTCTACGCCCGACATCATTTTGCGTAAATACGAGTGAAACGACAAATGTTTAATGTTTTGCTCTTTCAAGTAAGTCTCGTCAAAAGGTTCCAAGGGCGAACAATGGACGCATTTCGAATTGTTGTTGTGGCGACACCTAAAAAAATTTGTATGTTAGTCATGGTTTTTACATTGAAAAAATAACTCACAACTTATCATCTTTCTGTCTCTCAATTTTACCATCCTGCTTCCACAACACCAGATCAACCTCATCTTCCTTAATATTAGACTTCGAGGTAGCCAAAGGCTTCAAAGCGCTGCCCGTGGAGCTTGAGGAAGGGCCGGGTTCCGCGATGGGTTCGCCCCCAGACACACTGTTACTCTATGATGGTAACCAGTGATTAGATTGCTAATACGTGAGTGCAATTGAAAATCTTACGCTATTAAACAAAACGGATCCATTTAATGGTGAGAGGTAGATCATATCTCCGTGACGAAGGCCCAGGGTTCTTATTGTTTTGGTCTTGCTGCTGGCAATCTCGTCCTTTTTGTTCTTTTGCTTGTATAAAGCAAAAGCAAAACTATTGAGATCAAATGCATTGTGTATGGTTTCGTATAGTTGACATGTCGCCGACGAGGGGCTCAGTTCGATTCTCTTGGTGCCTTCCGGTGACTGCACCCGCAGCACCTGCAACCGAAATTTTTAAAAATAAACCTTTGTCATCGCTTGCAGATTTGAGGTTATGTGCAATTAATTTTTAATGAGTGACGAAAAGACAAAAGCTAATATGGAATTCAAAACCCCATGAAAAATACTGCGGAACTCACGATCGGTTTGTCTTTCGACATTGCGAGACGACGTCGAGAAATTTCAACAATGTTCTGAGAAAAGACCTGTCAAACGACAAGTGCGAAAGCAAAACAAGAAGTTTTTTTGTTTTGCTGTAGATTTAACTGACCAAACAAAGAACCTTGCCGACAGCTGATCGCGACAGTTTTTGCTGTCAAAAACAGAAACAAAATGGCATTTATACAGTGACCATAAATAAAATGCGACTATTTTTTATGGCAGCGCGAATCACCCTGGCAGACTTCCCTAACTTTAAATGGAAAACACATTATCTTTTTGCTTATACAAGGACAGTTCAAGACAGAATATAATATTTTGTCGTAAAAATACTTAATCTCAGACTGGTACTGGTAGCCTGATTTCAGAAATGTGTGGTTTGCTTTCTACGGGAAAAAAAGAAGAGGGCGGACGATGCTCCTGCCCGGTTCTGTAAAATGTAGAAATCGGACGAAATTAGTGTCATTTCATTTCAATTCAATGATGCGTTTCACAGAAAACTGTTGGGCACGACTACCAGGTGTCATTTGATTTAAAATATTGTTGTGTATATTTGTGGTCTGAAGTGATACAGGCGCAGAGCCTATAAATTTGGGAAATAGTATTCGTCGTAAGCGGATGTATATTGATTTGTGATATGTTATTCCATTATGTATATCTTAATACGGTTTCCGGATGTCTTATATTCACGCTGGTAACCAGGCCCGATGGGATCGGATGTCATTTTATAACTATTTATTTAGAAGCTGTTCTGCTATATGAATATATTAACACACCTGGAGGATAATTAATTAGTCCGGACCTTCTCATAACGAAGGCATCCTTTAAGACTTTTTGTCAATTGTTAGCTGTTGTAAGCTGGCCGAATGACCTTATGTAATCGTGGCAATTAGAAGTAAAAAAAAGTCTCTATCGCGTGGAAAGATTTAATTCTCATAAAATAAATACAAAACAGCTAAAAACTGTACACAAACCGAAAATGCATTTTTAATGAGATAACTATCCTGTAAAACCATTAAATAACAACACAAATTTACAAATAAATAATTATATGAAACAAATACAGCCTTCAATGGATCCTCGAACTTATCTGATCGATGAGGGCGTCGATTCTGTCGCTGGTGCCTTTAAAAGATTTCGGATCAGGCCCAATCATCTGGATGAGTTGAGGTACTTCTTGCCGGGATATTTCGGCAAACCGGGCCAAAGCTTTCATACACCTGTACAACTGCTCCTCGGGGGGTTTTTGATTGAAGTACTGCAGCACGGCCATGGTTAACTCGACCGCCACGTCATCAAAAACCTGAGACCATTGAAATATTGAAATTTCGACCACATTTATCGGGGTACTTACGTCATAAGTTTTGATAAATTCGAACGGGATTTTCGCTTAGGTCGGGATTACCGAACTTCGCATTTTTATTTCTAACTCTAAAAATACGCCGCTTTGCGGTTCCTTGTCCTAGAGGGGAGCAAAATCGATGTAATTTTGATGTGCATGCACCCTGTATAAAGTGAATTTCACGTCTCGCGGAACTTCAAAGTCACGGCATACTTTGAGAAATACAAGAATTTGTACAAATAATAGCGATTTCCAATGACAGTTTTCCCCATATGTCGCGCACCCTGTATGATAAACGATACCTGAAACTCTGTCTCGACACAGTTTACGATACTGTTTAAACCAAATTATCCCATGTTTAATAGTTTTTCAGTTACCCACGAGAACGGCAATTTTCAGCATCTTTTTGTTTTTTTTTACCCATACCCTGCACATAATTTAGAAAATGACCGAAGTAAAAGTTCTACCCTGGACCTCCCACTTTCTCAAATTACTGTGCAATCAAAATATCGGCTAAATAGTTTTCGAGAAAAATGTTCTTTTCTAGAAGCAAAACCCATTTTTAAATATTAAAAAAAATACTTTGCGGGATTTAAGTGAGTCCTGTTTCAACAATTGAAATCCGGGTGTGTCTACTTTTTTCCAAACCTGAAGTCGATAGCTGCAAATTTAAGACAACTGTTAATTTTTCATTATAACACTTAATATCTTGAACACCCTGTACAACAGGTGAAAACCTGAAATACAAAAGTTTTAGTCGTCTATACGAGATATATCGTAATGTAAAAGAAACTGATATCCGAAACGCGATTTTCATTTTTTTTTAGAATTCTTGCCGACCCCCCCAGCCACCTCAATTTCAATAGGTTTCGTAAGGGGATCAAATAACGTCCAAAAAACGGTCGAAAATCGAAAAAAACAGATGGACGCCGAAGTTTGATCGCGACCATTTTTACATATTTCATGCACCCCATGGACAGTTGTTTTAGCTCAAATTGATTACGGAAAAGATTACGAAGTTCGATAATTCCATTCTTACACACATAACCTAATGCAAATGGCAAACATGTTTACAAGAGAAGAAGGTTTGTTGAACCTTCTAATGGTATAAGCAGCGTATAACTTGTATCATTATTCATTTAGTCAGCGCTTAAATTGAGATTAGTAAAACGCGAACAACAATATGCGACTTTTCCACTGAAAGCTACCTTTGACAAACTGCCCTTGGGTAAGATCTGACGGATTCGGAAATTTTTGAACATTTTCTGAAATGAAAATGGCGACAGAGTACCTTTGCAAAAAAAATGTCGAATGACGTGTTTTTTAATTTTAAGTAGGCGGCCGTGCGAACGAAGACGCGGACAGGTTAGTCCTTAACCTACAAAATCTGCCTGCAACCTCTTAAAAGTTAGTGGAAGGGATACAGACCACAGTTTTTACCTCCTTGGCTGCCAGATTGTGAATGATGGCGGCGCCCCGTTCCTGCAGCACCGCGTTATCGGACAGGAGACTGTGTACGGCCACTTTGGTAGTCACCCTGATGTTGCTGATCTGTTGGTTGCTGTGCGTCCATTCGGAAATATAAAGCAACCACTCCGAGGAGCTCAAGTTCTCAAACAAGTTCGTAAGCTATAAAGATGGTCGTGAAGATAGTGGCGCATAACTTCCAAAACGACATTTATTTACAAATAAAGCGACCGCTTCCTGCTCGTCGGCCGTTAATCGGTCGATTTCGTAAGCGTAATTCATCAGTATGTGATCTTTCCGATCCTGGTGGAGCACGAGAATAACATCATCTTTCAAAGCCGCCGCCGACAGTACTTTGAACAGTCGAACTCTGACTTCGACCGGTAACTCGCCATCGTTTACTAACCTATCTATATGCAATGGTATAAAATGCGCGCGCACGCGTCAACGTTCCTTGTGACTTACTGACGTAGTCGAGGAAGCCGTCGCTCAACGCCCAACTACCCTCGTCGCCGATAATGTACTGCTGCAGTTCTTCCGTGGCCTTTTGTTCTTCGGGCGACAGTTTCCCGTCTATTAGGGCCACCAACGCGTCGAATTCCTCCTTGACGTCGTAAAGATCTTTGTAGACGATGGGCGGATCTCGGGCTTTCTTTTTCTCTTCTTCCTCGCGTCTCTCCTCTTCCTCCATTGCTAATGCTTGTTCCGACGGCAGCGGGCCCTCGGCAGTACCGTTCACCGCTTCTGTGTCGGCCATTTTTATATCCTACAGACGTAGATTTAAACAAAAGTAAAGACGATCGTCAAGAAGCATGCCTCTAAGTCGGTAGGGACGAGTAGGCCAGCCTTTAGGAGCTTTTTGCGTTTCTTCTCTCTCTTCCTCTCCTTTTTCGCGTCCTTTTCTTTTTGAGTTTTCCTTCTTTGCTGGAGCAGGAACGATTGGTATCTGCAGACGAAAGAGGTTTGTCCGGAACTAATCCATGTTTGTGTATCTCAGGATACTTACAATTAAAGATCTCGGCATGAGCTTTTAGCAAATCAAAAGGCGACTTTTTTAATTGAGAAAAAAAAAGGAACCACGTCGGATACATTTTTTAAGTAACCGAGTACTGACTGATGGCTGACAGCCTTATGAGACAATTTTTCAAAGAGTGAAATTAATGACTTGCATCACTTGAAGCACGTTTATGGGGCATATCACACTGAGTTTTTGGAAATAACAATAGATCAAATCAAAACAAAACAACTCAATAAACACGCGTGTGAAACTAATATAAAAAATGAGGTTAATTAAAGCAAACATCCAATATTAGGTAAAACCCAAGCAAAGAAAAGCACACACCAAACATTTTTATTCCTGAACGTTTATTACATAAAATTTGCAACATATAAGCTAAATTGTACTAATTGTCTAATAAATAGCGAATGTCGAAGAGTAGAATTTAAAGGCAAAAATAGAGTTAGTTATTTTTTTTATCTCCTTCTGGCACCCCATTAACCTTACTGCCTGACCTTGCGTCCTCGATCTCCCTAGTAAGATCCGGTGAAAATTCCCTTGAAAATTGCTGTTGCTCTTCCGAGATAGGGCGCGCACTCTTCTCTAATTGACTGACCAAAGCCGGTATTGCTGCGGCCAGGGTCAAATTCAACACCTCGTTCGGCAAATCGAGGATGTCTTTGGGGATGCTCGAGCCGCACAGAAACTGCGCAATGTCCTCGGAAAAATTATTGCAGTTGTGATGCAGTAAGTTGTAGGATGAGGGACTGCAAAAGAAAACAATAACTCATTCACTGTGACTGCTGATGATGCATCACAATTAACACCCACATAATGCCATTTATAGAACTGTTATTAGTCAAACTTACGAGTAGCTCGTTTGCGATAATCCCGTCAGATAATCCAAGAATATTGCATGAGTCACTTGAGTCTCTCCAAGCAACTTAATATCCTTTGGGGGTCCTAATGCGGTGGCACCCTGAAAAAAGTTTCCTTTAACCAACCTTGCAAATAATTCGCGAATTTCCGCGCGGAGTATCTAATTTTAGCACTTGTCCAAACTTGGCATTTTTCACTTCAAACTCTTTTGTAGCGACTAACCGCGCGGTCCTCAAATACAAGGTAACCCTACTCCTGATATTCCCTGTCTAAAAATAGTAATCTAAATATAGATGGCAATTTAAGCGTTCCTAGTGCGGAATCAAAAAGAAACACGTGCCAGCATTAAATAATTTTCCGTTTCTCGATGGAAACAAAACAAATTGATTGGTTACATGGTTTCTCCCTCGGTAGCGCAAAATTTTGAGGTTAGTCTTACCGGATTACAACTTTCGACACCGGATGATCCGAAAAAGTATTCCCGATCGTATACGACTATCGAAGTATGCCATATCCCATCGATCCTTTTCCCTAAGAAAAAATTAAAATCGCAAAATCATTATAACCTTAAACTTTATTATTTATAAGAAAACAAGGGAATTACCTAAGAGCTTTTGAGAAACACTCGGCGCACACCCCCTGGAAAGATCGTATATGTACAATTCTACCTTATGCGTGGTCATTTTCCTAAGTTCCACCACAAAAATTTCAATCTAATAACAGATCAAGTTCTGACACCGCTTCTGTCATGTATTTGAACAGTCGGGTAATCGATTTTGTTAGTCATGTGAATTTCTCGCAAATTCTAGAGTGACTGGAAGAATGTAATTTCGCCGCAGTTGGATTTGCGCCATATTAAAAATTTTTCCAAAAGGTTTAGAATGTAAAACAAGAGATTCGTACGCTATTAGGACCCCAAAATAAAATATACGCGACCGGGTACGGCGCATAATCACCGTCTAAGATCAAATATATCTCTACCTGTCCCAACTACTTTGTATATTTTTAGAATTCCTTTCAAAAACAAACGCATATAATGCGACAACGCAATGACCACTCGTGTTTATCAATTTTCCTTGTTTCTCAAAATTAAAGTGACTCAGGCTAAACTGCAATAGGCCACGCGGCCACTGCCACTACGATTTCGATTTTCGCAAAAGATAAGTAAACTTTACAATCGATGTTCTGTGCATTCCATTTGACACTTTTTTGAGAAAATTACTTTTACTTTTGCTAATTAACTAAAATCCCGTTTCTTGTCGAGACAGGCAACGGAAACCTTGAACTTTAACACCTGTTTCATTAAGCGGAGGTAAAAGAATTTTTGCTACCCACTTAGTCATAAATCGAAAAGATGTTACGGTGGAGCGATTTTTATTGGTTCTTTCTAGATATGATAAGCTACTTACTGAACAATGTGATAGGTGTTTTCAGATCGAGAGTGGCAGCAGACATGGCATCGCCGAAAGCCGCAGAAGTAAAAGACCTTATTGGAAGTGATAAGGTGGTCATTTTTTCAAAGACTTATTGCCCCTATTGCAAACTGGCTAAAGAGGTTTGTGTTTTGAATGTTCTTGGTATTGTGTAATAAATTTCTATTTGCTTTAAGGTGTTTGACAAGCTAAAAGAGAAGTACACTACCATTGAGTTGGATGAACGCGATGACGGTGATGAAATTCAGAGCATTTTAGGAGAGATCACAGGAGCCAGGACAGTTCCAAGGGTATTTGTAAAAGGCAATTGCTTAGGAGGAGGATCGGATGTCAAAGCGCTTTATGAAAAAGGGGAACTGCAAAAAGTAGTGGCTTAAGTTATTTTACTGTATCCACAATTTTAAACCTAATGCAATTGTAAAGATAAGCTCAAGATGATTCCCAAATAAAGTATCCATTTGAAATCGCACGTTTTTGTTTGCTCTTATCTATATAAAAATTCAAACGCAGTGACACGTCAATGAATGGAGGAATAGTTGATCGGTAAACATAACCTCAAAATTCGAATCCGTTTCATGATGAATGTGCCCTATGGGAAAATTGCGGTGTACGTGCTGACCTTTATCGGATACATTTATTCCGGGTACGGTTCCGGGCTGTTGGGTAACCTGCGAGACGCCATTTTATCTGCGGAAACTATTTTCGGCGGAGCCATTAAGAATGTCGTCAAAATCGCTCAAAAGTTCCGCAGCTATCAGGACGTATTCGACCGAGCCGTCGAAGAAGAATGCGTTTTCAAATGCCCAAACGGTAGGTGTTTATTTCAGATTACAGATTTCCAAATAACGATTTTCACAATTTTGACATAGAAATAGTTCAGCATCTCCCTTTTTTCTTTCATAAATGTGGACTGTTTTACACAACATAAATGTAGGAACTGTTTCCTAGGTGCTATTCCGAAGCCAAATCGTTTCCACGTTCCAAGTTCCGACGGCTGCGGGTCGTTGGGATTGAAAATCCACAGCGACTATCTGCCAGTTGCCGCTATGGAGCAGTGCTGCAATGAACACGATATCTGTTACGACACGTGTAACAAGGACAAGGAGGTGTGCGATGTTGATTTTAAGCGTTGTCTTTACAAATATTGTGACAGTTATTCCAATTCTGTTGCGGGACAAACAATAATTAAAGGTAAGGTGTCCGGCGCATCCGCCTTATTTGTAAATAATTTATCTCCTAGGATGCAAGGCGGCAGCGAAGGTTCTTTTCACGGGCACGTTGACGTTAGGATGCAAGTCCTACATTGATTCGCAGACTAAAGCGTGTTATTGCCCTCCGGCCGCTTGGAAAGACAAGAAAAAGAAATATACAGCGGGAGGAGACAGATCTGAGCTTTGATTGGAAGCTTCAGCCCAAATACTTACGCGTGATTACTGCAATTTACTGTGATTTGCGCTGTGTGTTGTTGATTTAATTAGTATCAAGTCCAGTTGTGTTGTGTTGCTTTTGTTTGAATTCGACTAATAAAAAGTAAAAATGAAACGCGAGTAGTTTTCTTTTTAATATATATTTCTATTCATATGTAAAACACAGGTATGAATGAGATTGGAAAACCGAAATCCAATAGTTTAACATTTAATCACACTTAGTAATAATCGCCATTAATATTTTGCAACTTTATATAATAGTTGCAAAGAAGCAAAACCCAAAACCTGCAATCCTACCCACAAACGAAGAACTTCCTCTTCTTTTAAGTTTTGGCTCATTGCACACGGGGCCGTAGAAAAAACCCTAGAATTTCACGAGCTACGGCTTAAATATGGCGTCAATTTTGACTCCGTTTTGATTTTCGACCGAGCGGAACCATTTTTCAAAGTGTGCGATCCTGGTAAATACCCTCGGCGAAGTCCTAGCGGCGCAATTGATTTCGAAGGGTGCCATACCGATCACCACGTTGTTCTGCAGCAGCGGGCCGCCCGAATCTGAGCTGCAGTCGATACCGTCGACGTTGTAGGCGCATATCATCGTGTCGTCCACTTTTTCGACCTTGATCAGCGTCTTGCAAGTCTGAAACGCGATCAAGTTGACGTTCAGAAAGTAAACTTGGTCTTCGGTGGACGTTTTTCTCGATATCCATCCGACGGCGGTCGCCAGAGTATCGGAACGGTGCTCGTATTTCGCGCTAGAGAGCGCAACGGGCGTTTCAAATTTGTCCTTGAACGGGGATCCCACTTTTACGAGACACAAATCGTGGCTGGCGCTTTTTGCGGTGTAATTCACGTGCCTCACGAGGGTTTCCACGCTGTGCTGTCTGCCTCTTGTCCACCTCGCCGCATTGCTCGAGACTTTGAGTCGCTCGAATGGGTAAACTTCCGCCTTCTCGCAGCAACGCGCAGTCACCAATACCCAAAACTTGCTCACGATCGTGGCACCTGCAAAAAAATTCGACCGTTTGTCACAGACGACGGAAAACGGTCATCGTCTTTACCGCACATCAGCGCCATCTGGTTCGACTTGAGTACCACTAGCGCCGCTAAGAATTTCGGGTCTTCCCTGTGATTTTTGCCGCCGACCAGCGAAGACAATCGACCGTTAGTCGCTCTGTATCGATAGTTTTCCGCAAGTTCGGAGTCCTCTCTGCAGTGCTTCCTCGATTCCATGAGCATCACGATTAACAGAATCAAGTTGGCGAGGGATACCACCACGAGGGTGGTGACGGAGACGCACGATACGCTAGACATGGCGACTTGATCGGACATTCCCGCAGTCCTCTTGTCGACCGACTGCCATGGAAGCACTGATGAAAAATTACTTGTCGATTAGAGTTGCGGGTTTGTTGCACTTTCACCCTGTCGCGTGTGTAGCCGCACACGGAAGCCCGACACGTGAGGGTTATTTATTCGTCGTTTTGTTAAAAAAATATATATTTAAAGGGCGAGAGAGAATAGACAATGCAAGTTGCGGAGCAACACCAAATCTTTGAATCGAGTGGGCCGTTATACGTCATCCCTAATTGTTTCTATCTTCATTTGGTGTTCTATTTTAAGACGGGATGCGTCGATGCAGCAATTTGCTAGCAATTTGTGGGCGAGTTTATTTTCGTCCGCGTTATTTTTCTACCGGAACTCGGTTGGTATTAGCACGCCGTCGACGCTTCGCTGCCGCTGGTATAAAACAATTTGTCGAAATGTCGTTTTCGTCCATCATTTATATCGTCGTTGTTTGTCACACTAACTCTTTCAAAATGCCGCAGAGTCGGAACGTATTGTCTCTTGTACTCGATGATGTAATTGCGTGCAATCCATCAGTTCAAATAACCCCCGACTCTTACCGTGCATGGAAGGACTCTTTGGAGTCAGTTAAATTTTACTTGGTTCCAAAGTCTTTGAGGCTTTAAGCTGGTAACTTTTAGTTGAACTTCTATGGAAATGGCTGAGCAAGTCGCGGCCAATTGCGAGGTATGCCACGCCCCCACCGAGCGCAGATGTTCCGGCTGCAAGGCAGTCTTTTACTGCTCTCCGGAGCACCAAAGGAACCACTGGTCCGCGCACAAGCGAGACTGTGGTTCGTACGAAGTAAGAGTCAGCCTTAGCCCATCCCCTTGCTCATTCCTAACTCCACAATACGTTCCAGATACGTCACTGCAAGGAGTTGGGCCGCTACATGGTAGCCAAGAGAGATTTGGAGCCTGGGGATGTGATTTTCGTAGATTCGCCCCTAGTGGTCGGCCCCAAACGAGACGAACACGCTCCCCTAGTATGTGTGGGTTGTTGCAAGTAAGCGACGGCACGTGTGGGGGCTTCCGATAAACTAATGGTGTCTCATCGCAGGTTGCTCAAGGACGTGATTCATCGTTGCCCGGAATGCCTCTGGCCCGCTTGCGCCTCAAACTGCGAGGGGTTGAAAAATCCCTCGCTGCATGCGTGCGAGTGCCAAGTGATCAAGTTGCAGGGGGCGGACCCACTTCTTTGTCGATTGGACGTTTTGATCGTCCTGAGGGCCTTGTTCCTGCAAAAAACCGATCAGAAAAAGTGGAAGACGCTTTTGAGCCTGGAAGATCATTTGGAGGAGAGAAGACCAGGAACCGGAGTGTTTGAGTGAGACGTTCTATGTGACTTATGGGCGCAAAGCCAATGAGTTGATTTTCAGAGACGTACAGCAAAAGGTGTGCTACATCCAAAATAACTTCCTCGCGCCGCTGAGACGTTTCGAAGAGTCCACCGGTCAAATCGTCCTCCCTCAAGTCTCCAACGATATCGTCCACAAAATCTACGGCGCACTGGACGTGAACGAGTATGAATTAACCGGTTCCGCTGTCCTGGAGCTTTTGTACCCCATCGCCTCTATATCGGAACATAGTTGCGTGCCTAATTGCCTCCAAGTGATAGACGAGAGCGACAACTACAAGCTGACCTGCAGGGCGGCCTCCGCGATCGCCCGTGGCGCTCACATCAAAGCCTGTTACACGGATTTGCTCAAGGGCACGCAGGAACGCCAACGGTATTTGAGAGAGACCAAATATTTCACCTGCACCTGCGAGAGATGCTCAGATCCCACGGAGATGGGAACCTTTTTCAGCGGTTTGGTGTGTCTCGGCACGGAACAGGAACCTTGCAAAGGTCTCCAGCTTCCGGATCAGCCGACGACGTCGAATCCCAAGTGGGTCTGCGACAGGTGCGGCATTCGACTGCCCAACGATGACGTAGTAAAATTCGTGCGTCATCTCGGCCACGAGGTCGACAAGCAGATGGAGAAGAGGCCCAAGATGGAAGAGCTGGAGGACTTTTTGAACAAGCTGTTGACGTTTTTGCACCCGAACCACTACTTGGTGTACCGGGTCAAACATTCGTTGGTGCAGCTCTACAAGACCGAAGGGGAGTTGGAGATATCGCGGGGGTTTCTCGAGACGAAGCTGGAGATGTGCGAGGATCTCATCTGGCTCACGAGGAAAATTGATCCGGGAAACGCGAGGTAAGATTTTTTAAAACAAATATATTTTAATATTTCAAGGAAACTTCCATAAGCTACTGTAATACTTTTTACAAAATGTCTGGATTCCTCCTGCGTCAGTTTTTGCTGAGTCGAACTTGCTGACGTTTCGCCAATCATCCTGTTTCGTACTTCATTGAACAATTAAAAAGCATTGCATTAGATACACAAGATATTCTAGTTAGTTTCGACGTAGAATCCCTCTTTACCAAAGTTCCTATTCCTGAAACTCTCAACATCAATTTAGATATATTAAAATCGGAGAATCTGAAACCAAACCTTCTCATCTTAATCGAAAAATGCTTGTCTGGAACATATTTTTCTTATAACAGTAAAATTTTTGAACAAACGTCGGGAACGGCTATGGGTTCTCCACTATCACCAGTCATCGCAAAAATATATTTATTGAAACTTTTGAGAAGAAAGCTCTCGACACCTTTCATCTAAAGCCAAAATTATGTAATTTTTGTTATTTGGCCTCATGGTCAAGAAACCCTACTACATTTCTTACACATTTGAATTAGAAACTAATAATAATCTCCCATTCTTAGATATTATTATCAGTAGAAAATCAGACCTCACATTGGGTCATTGTGTTTACAGAAAACCTACAGACCGATACCTTAGTGCATGGTCACATCACAATCCGGCCCATGGTTATCAACTCTCTTGTTTACACCTTACCTCTGCTCTTCTCTCTAATATTTCCACATTGAAGATATTAAGCGTTCCATCAAAAAATACACGTCCCCACAACCTTCCAATGGCAATGAGGCCGAAAGCAATCCTACACTTGGCACTTCCATACATTCAAAACATCACTGATCACATATCAAAAGTTCTACAGAAATATAACGTCAAAACCAGATTTACGACTTGTCCAAAAATCTCTCAACATCTTCGGTCCGTCAAAGACAAAATTCCATTTGATATGCCACCAGGAGTTTACAGTATTCCATGCATATGCGGCAAAGAATACATCGGCGAGACCGGACGAAAAATATCAACTAGGCTCAAAGAACACGAAATAGCCTTACGACTAAGACAAATAAACTCATCAGCTGTTGCCGAACACAATCGCAATACTAAAATTCTTGCATGTAATCAATTCTTCTACCAACGAAAAATCCGAGAGTATTTAGAAATTTATAAGCAACCTAACAATCTTATCTGTCACCAATATGGGAATCAGTAATCCGAGACGATGCTTATGCCCTTCATTAAACAATATATAAGCAGGTGAAGTCTGTTCATAGATATAAGAAAATGACTAACTGATACGAATTAAGGAAAGACCCGGGCAAGCTGTAAGAATGAAATATGGCCGAACAGGTCCGAACTTTGCTTAGAATTTAATTATTTGGGGTTTTGTTAGGAATGTTACTAAAAAATATTTATTTATTTATTTATATATGTATTTATGTTTAAATCTAAATTATAATTACAAATTATTTTTATTACCTACTTAAATTACTTAAAATTATTCACATAATGTATCAGTATCACTATCGCTATCATCGCCTGTTCTAATTATTATTTGATCTATATTATTTGCAATATGGATATACGATTGTTCTGCTTTTTCTATATGTTTAACAGAATTTGCCCAACTTTGTGGAGGGATGTTAAAAAATTCGGTTTCTATAAGTTTGAGGACATTGGAGTTAACACGGGGAAAAACATTGTTACGACGAATGGCAGATTTCAGTTGGTGCCAAACATGTTCAATGGGATTAAATATACAGAGGTAAGGTGGAAGCCTTAAAACTGTATGCCCTAGATTTTTGGCATGATTATCACAGACGTATTCCTTTTGTAGGTTCAAACTTTGTAGAACCTCAATTAATCGCTTTTTGGTATAATCTTCTTGTGCTTTTGTGTCACATGAGGAAGGGGTTTTATTCAACTGTCTACTGTGATGACTTGCATTGTCCATTACAATTACGCATAAGGGGGAATGTTTGGAACTAGTTTGTTTTTAAACCAACTTTCAAATAAATCAGCGGTGGTGTCTTCATGGTAATCCAGAGAAGAATCTTTAATATTTTTCGCAGACAGAGAAAGTCCATTTGGAATCCAACCATCTTTAGAGCCAGCATGCAGAATAGTTATTCTTTTACCTCTTTTTGATGGCGCCTTTGTTTTACACTTATCAGTTGAGTCAACCCAACCCTTTTCCGGGGTATCATAAGTGTCGAACCAGGTTTCATCCAAGTAAATAATTGGCCTTTGTCGTTCTCTGTAAATCCTAATTTTTTCTAGATATTCCAGTCGCCATTTCCGAATTCTAAAAGAATTTATTAAAACTTACCTTTTGCCAATTTTTGTAAATCTAAAACCCATGTGTTGAATACAGGTAGTTCTGCCACATTTAGCACCGGTTTCATCTTTTTCAAGCCTAATTAAGATATCTAATGTAGGCACGCTTTGTTCCTCGTATACATGGTAAATTTTACGCCGTATCATATCTTGATCACTTTCATCTACACTCGAAACAATGTCAGCATCGCTTCTTTTTTTCCTCACTGAAATGGGATTATTCACAATTTTCCATACAGTTGATGATGGAATTTTCGTCAATGTGGCCGTTTCTTCTAAAGATGTTTGCTTGCTGGCACCAGGTTCAATGAGAGTCAAACAAACATTCTTTATAACTTCCTTAGTCTCAATAGAATAGTGTTTTCTACATTTGGAAGGGAGCATCTCCTGAAATACACTAGTCTCGCACATGTTTTGCATAATTCGCACACGATTCAACACACGCTGTATTACACACGAAATAAGAATGATTACTAATAAACTTAAACTAAGTAGTATACCAAACCAAATAATACTAAACACAGGTTAGGTATAAAATTATTTTCTATTACGGACCACAATTTTACCTGAATTTAAATTCCGAAACTTTAGGTAATAATCTTGTTGCATTGTACGTTAATGACCACCCTTGGATAATCCCATTCAAAAGCAATTGGTCACTTTTTTATATCTATGAACAGACCATACATAGTAAAATGCGAGCCAGTTTCAGTCAAGCTCTGAAAAAGCCAACAGGATGATTGGCGAAACGTCGACTCAGGAAAAACCGACTCAGGAGGGATCCAGAAGTGTTGTGAAAAGTATAAATATATTTTACCAATGTTACTGAGCCACTTTTATAACCAAATTAATCAATAACGCACCATTAAAAGAATAATTAAAATTACAAAATTAAAAGCCAGAACCTACAATTATTTTCTAGGTTAGGTTTGTACTTGGCGGTGCTTCTGTACGAAAAATACCAGGCCCAGAGCAAACTATTAACGAGAACCATCGAACCCAACGACATAGGTTCCTGGGAGTCTCAAATCCAAAACGTTTTGAAACTGCTGCTCCAGTCCAAAATGGCGCTTCGCTACGAGCTCCAATCCGACGCCGGCTCCAAGCTCCATGAGCTCCTGGAGCTGAGCGAGGAGCGTTTCAAGAGCTGGTTAAATTCAATCGGAGCCGAAACGTTGTAAAGTAATATATATATTCGGATTTCCAACACATGCGTAGTTTATTTACGCTTTTCCCGCATCAAATATAAAATTTGGGTCATCGTTATCGTTTGGACCGGTGCCAGACGCATTCTATTTTCATTTTTCGCCACTCTGGCGTTAAAAATGCGCCCGTTCCGCGAAAACCGGGAAAATGGCCGACGCGGAATCGTGTAAGTGCGCGGAATGCGGTGAACCTGCAGCCCTAAAGTGTTCCGCGTGCAAGTTGGCTTCGTATTGCGGCAAAGAGCACCAGAAAAGTCACTGGAAAGATCACAGGGCGGTATGTAGGCCGTTCGAGGTAAGTTGAGCCGAGATCAAGACGATTTCATGTGTCCGACCCAATATTGACAATCGAAACACAAAAAATTGAAGGAAAATCAAGTTATACTTATTAAGAAAGTTTTCCCAACTAATTTTGCTTACTTATTTTTGCGACTTTGTTCTTATTTCATTTTCATTGTACTCGAAAACGGGAATAAAATCTGCAAATCCATCTGAGAATTACGAAACATGAGATTTGCGCGCGTTGCAGATAGTAGTTGATCCGGACATAGGACGATGCTTGGTGGCGACAAGAGATCTAAAGCCTGGCGACCTTATACTCACAGAAAACCCTTTGGTTTTCGGGCCCCGACCCCATATGGTGGAGGAAGGTCCGGTACCGTGTCCAGGATGCTGCAGGTACCGACCCGACTCCTCCCTTAACCATACGAAATATTAATTTCTCCCATTAAAGATTGATCATCGGTGAAGGGGCGGCTAGATGCGAGGGCTGCGATTTCCCGGTCTGCAACCCCGAATGTCCCGGCCTGAAGGACATGGAGGTCCACGGTCACGAGTGCATGATCCTCGGTCTCAGAGACGTCAAAGCCATCAACGGGCTTCACGATTTCTACAGGCAGGACACGCTGCTGCCGCTGAGGTGCATCCTTTTGCAAAACAGACATCCGAAGAAGTTCGCCAAGCTCATGGGGATGGAGTCGCACCTAGAAAAACGAGGCGAGAACACCGAGATTTACCGGTACTGCCGCCCACAACCGCGGCTATTAAGATCTGATCCGTTTGCGTTTCAGGGACATCGATAGTCGCGTGGTCGATTACCTAAACGACAATTTCTTCGTCCCTATGCGAATGCTCGAAGGCAAATCCGGCAGACAAGTGTTAGAAGATATTTCCAAGCAGACGATCCACAAAATTTGCGGCATTCTGGACGTCAACGCGCTGGAAATCAACCAAGACTCGGAAGTGACCGCCCTATACCCTAACGCTTATCTGATGGAACACAGCTGTGTCCATAACACCAGGCATTCTTTTGAAAGTGCCAAGAAAGGGTACGTTCTGACGGTGAAGGCTTCAGTGCCCATCTCCAAAGGGGACCATATATCGACGATGTATACCCACACCCTGTGGGGCACCCAAGCTAGAAGGGAACACCTGAAAGAAACCAAATATTTCACCTGCAAGTGTAGGAGATGCGGGGATCCTACTGAGCTCGGGTCGTACTTGAGCGCGTTGAAGTGCATCGGGAACCAAGAGGAACCCTGCGGAGGTAATGCTTTAACTTTGAGATTTCTACGGGTTCACACTATGGAACTGTAGGAATCCAGCTGCCAGTGGACCCTTTGGACGACAACACCGAGTGGACTTGTGACAAGTGCGATGTGAAGCTCAGCAATGCTGAGGTGTCGTTCCTGGTCAACCAGATTGGCGAGGAAGTGGACCACGTTCAGCTATCCAACCCAACAGTTAGAGACCTCGACGGGTTGCTGACAAAGATGTTGAATTTCGTTCAATCCAACCACTACCACGCGTATTCCGTGAAGCATTCTCTGGTGCAGTTGTACGGTTACCAGCAGGGATATTTGCCCAATCAGTTAACCGACGACTGCCTAGCGAAGAAAGCGGCAATGGCCAGAGAACTGTTGGATATCAATAAGAAAATTGACCCGGCCACTTCGAGGTGAGCGTTTTTTTTCCAGTCAATAGGCACCTACAGCTTCCGTTCACGTTTCAGACTAGCTCTGTACTCCGGAGTATTACTACACGAGTTATATTTGGCCAACATGATCTTGATCAAGAGAAAATGGGATCTGGGCATAAAGACCAAGGTCAAGTCGATCAATTCGATGTTGAAGGAGTGCGACTATTGTCTGAAGAACGCGGTGGCTATGCTTTCCGACGAGAAGAACTCTCCGGCCGGCGAGAAGCTCGTCAGCTTGGTGGAGTCGTCCGCCAGAGAGTTCGAAAAGTTCGTCAGCAGGAACAAGATCGACCTGTCGGCCGAAAAGGGCAAATAAAATTCTCACGCGTACTCATGATTTTTATTTAAAACCTTTCCTTGGGCGTGTACTTGGGCATATTAACGTCCGCGAATTTTACTCTATGACTACTGCTAACTCTTGGCTCCTCGGCAACGGGCTTCTGCCTAGGCCATTGCACCTTCTCGAACGGGTTCTCGCGCTCAAAGTTCTCAAACTCGGACTTGGAGCAGCAACAGAAACAGACCTCGCACATGAAATCGCTCAACCTTTTCCACGCGTTGATGGTCTGGTTTAGAAACGTATACAGGAAGGGATTCAAAGCGTAGTTTGTCATGTACAGGGCTATAAGGGAATTGTTCAAGTTCCACTTTCCAGATACCGAAGATGCGGTCCTCACGATGTTGTAGACGGCGTGGGGGAGTCTGCACCCCATAAAGCTGAACATGAGCACGAGAACTATTTTGAAAGTGCGGATCTTTCTTTCCACCTGAACGTTTTTGCTCTTGGTCAGGATAGGCTTTAGGTTAGGCGTGGTGGACTGGTCGGAGTCCCTGGTGTTGGAGGTGTCGTCTGATTGGTAGATACTCTTCGACGTCACGGGTTTCCTGTGGTGCCAGACCAAGATGGCGATCTTGTAATACAGCCAGAGGAACATGCAGCAAATCGGCAGGAAAACTATGATGGTGGTGATGATGTAGTAGAGGGCGAGTTCGTTTTTCGTGAGGGGCGATGCGGTGCAAAGGTACTCGTCTTTATCGTTAACTATGATGGGCAGGTAGTAGTAGTACGTCTTCATGGGATAGGAGATGGCGGCGCAAACGCCCCAGAGGATCAAGGCGCCTCCCAGACAAAGCCACCATTCAGGATCCCATCTTTTACTGAGGGCGTAGAACACGTTGTGGTACCTGTCCAGAGCTATGACGAAGAGCGCCACCGAACTGGCCGTGGAACCCAGAATTTGACCAACAGGAACGAAGTAACACATGGACTCCCCGTAAATCTAAAACCGATAAGTTTTAACGGTAGTACGCGTCAATGAGGTGGTGTACCCAGGTCATGAGCTCTTTGGAGAGCATGTCCAAGTAGTTGAGCGCGAAGATCAGCACTCCCAAGATGTCCGACAGGGCTAGAGATATGATGCAGGTTTTCTGGAGACGTTTCGTCTTCCTGGGGGAATAATGGCGGACGGCTGTAGGGAACTTTTTTCGCTTCTCAGTGTTTACCTGTACAGTATGGACTTGATGGCGAGCAGGTTTGCCACAAGGGCAACCACGGTGATGACGAGGATGATCCAGAAGTATAGCGGCTTGTTATAAGGCGAGGATTTGAGCGCCTCGTCTGTTACGACGGTCCTGTTGCCGTCGTCTATCTTCGTTAAAAATTTCGTTGATCATTCGATTTGGTTTCGCGTTTTTTTTTTACGTACCTTCGAACCACCTGAGCCCATTGTCGTCAGCAGCAGCTAAACGACTAATTGATTGATCATGTTAAATACCGGAACGCGTGGTACGTCATTAAAATGGAAAACATTTTCTCGCTAACGACCGATCTGCCGTGCGCTGAGATAAGGACGAGGTAGATTGTCGATTGTCACGGTACAGGGTGTTTCGCGGGGCGACGACTCTCCCTCGATTTTATTTTACATGGTTGATAATGTTTTTTTATTTCTCCAGACAACAAAAAAATTGAAAAGAACAGTTGTTAAAAGAAACCAATAAAAAATAGTAGAACCATACATATACAAATGCAGGGAGTATTAAATTGGAAAAAATATACACTCAATTCTGTTGAAATATGGCAGTGTTATTCAGTGTATTAAGAGGCTAATTAGCCCTGACAGATTATAATAATTCCCGGGGGAACCGTAGCGAATATTATTGGCAAAAAATACACGCCACTGTCTTTTGTGTAACAACTCTTGTATTTTTTTCGTATTTCACTTAGTTTTCGAGAAAAAGAAACAGTTTGACATTTTTTTTTCTTCTTGGATGGTGGACATTTTCAATGTTCATTGCAGTATACTTTATCTCAACAGGACTTAATTATTTTATTCTATTGTATCTAAAATCAAAATTAGTTATACATTAAAAATATTTTTTTCATATTTTTTAACAAGGAATCGTTGTATAATGCATATATTGAATATGATATTTGACATCTTTCTTTTATTAGCAGATGTACATATTTTGAGAACTTGAGAACAATGTGCTGCTTTTTCGTAAAAATAAAGATGCCGCAAACAAAATTTTCAAAATTTGCAATTTTGGGAGGCCCTCTCGTATTTCAATTAATTTTTAAATATCTAATATATATAATATAATATCTAAATATTTAATCTAATTTACCTCAAACTACAGAGAAAAATGTGTAATAATCATTTTTTTCTGTAACTATTTCAAAAATATGTTTAAGCACTCTAGTCCGAATTGATAAAGCGTCATGTTTCACCAATAAATCCCCATAAAATCTGGCAAATCATGCAAATCGTCATCTAATCACGGCGAAATCTTATAGTTTTGGTTAGTTTTGCAGCATCCCCCACCCCACGCCACGATAATCTCTTTCAAATCCAGGTGATTGATTTCCAGTGTTTATTTATAATCCGAAAATAGTTATATCTGTAACGACATTCGGCAGACTGTGTAATGACGCCTGAGTACACACGCACCAGCGGCGTAGCGCGAGTTTTTTTACGAGGGAACGGCGTTTGGTACTTCGGGTACGGGATTCTCTCTCGGCAGCAATCGTATCACGCCGCTGTTGCTCAATAACGCGTGTCGCACGATAAAATCTTAATTATCGTGGCATATGGCCCTTAACGCGTTAACAGTGTGCAGTAAAAACATGGAATATTAGGCTAATTATCAGTATACTTGGAGGACAGCACAGAACAGTCTTCGTTTGAGGACGCAACCAGCAATACACTTAGCGCACACACTGTAACGCAGTATACCACACTTCACTTGAATAAGAACAAAAAAGACTTAATGCTTACAGATTTTGGTGGCCTAGAGGTTAAGGCGCTAGTTTTGATATTGATGCACCAGTAGGTTGCCGGTTCAAACCTGACGGATTACCTACCCATGGTTATTTTTTAAATTTTCAACTATTCGTTTTGCAACCACAAAAAATAATCACAACTTGTTTGTACAAATCCAAGTTTTAAAAATGTTTCTCAGCGTTGTATACCTCATTTATTTCTATTTAATTTCTAAAAATTTCTTTGCTCTCTTCGAGGGCAATGGGAAAGTGAAAAGAGGCGCATAGAGAGTATTTTCTCCAAGCTTTATTAAATTTTATTTAACATCATCGAAAACTAAGCCTAGTAACTAAATATCAAATATCTATTTTCGTATATAATAATATACCTAGACTAATCATCATTATAATACAGTTCTTATTAGATACTTATAGGTGCTACTCTTTGCACGACAATAAAATGATTGCACCCCGTACAAGGCAACGGAAACTTCGGTGAGTTCGGAACGTTTGATCGGATATTGCTGATACGGTATACACTTGTTTCGGAATGAGTTCGAAAAGGTCTGAAGGACTCCATTACCCTGTGTGTTCGCAAAAAAATGTACGAGGTGGTCCGAAAAATTTCACGTTAAAAATTACATCTCCTTAATTCCCTACTATCGATTTCCTTTTTATACAAGAACTGCAACATTTAATTTTCATTTTTTTTTACAAGATAATGCCAGGGGTGCGTTCCTTTTTTTTTTGGTGGGCGACGAAACGCCCGAAAATGTACACGACATCCATCGAAACAACCAAAGAGAAACGATTAAAAATATTGCACGCAACTTTTTTTTTTTTGAGTATTACCGGTACTACGTCTCTCCCTTCGTTAGATATAATGTCGGCATCGCCCCCAGCCTCGGGGCAGGGCGCGCTGCCAACTACCCTGATCACAAATTATTTTATACAATATATTGTCTATATGTTGTGCCTGTGCGTAAAACACATCCGAATAAATTAAACGAACAATAATAATTATTATTACACAACTAATAATACTTTCATAGGAATGTCTGCGTGTTGTTGTACATCCAACTAAAAACTTAGCTATTTAACCAGCACCATGTTTAACTGTATAGATATACCTGGGACTATAAAAACAAACAAAAAAAAACACGTCTAACAAACTAAAGGAACCATAGAAGCACAATTAAATAAAAGCACCGAGATTAATATCGACGAGTGCGCAAACTTTTTTTTTTGTTCGAAAAATAAGTTAAAAAAAAACAAAATCGTGGTAACTCACATTCATCTCACTTAACAGAACAGAGCGGAATTTAACCGTAAACGGAATTAAGTACAAAACAGTTCGCTCATTAACATTATTAACACCTAACAAATGGGATGGGCGCCCCTATTTTTTGGGGGGGGGGGAGTAAGGGGGCCTCAACCCGTATATCACATTTGCAAAAATTCTAATCAATGTACACCATACATCGAGCCGAGGGTTAAAAAGTGACGGACGACGCCTTCTCCCGAACCGGAAGTGAATTCGAGCGGACATCCGGTTAAACCGGAACTTAAATCGGAAGTCAGGTTTCTTTAACGTGTAGTAAGTAGTTCCGGTTTGACAGGAACTTCAAAGCTTAAGAAGATCCGGTTAAGCCGGAACCTAGTTTAAAAATAGATTGCGAAGTCAAATTAACGAATTTGTTGTTTTGGGAACTTCCGCAACTGGTACGGGTAAGGGGGTAGTAGTTAAGCCCATCACTTTTTAGATTCGGTGCTATTTACTTTACTATGTAATATTTATATATATTTATAATATTCGATGGAAATGAAAAATACATAAACTTTCAGATTACCCTAAAGCAATATCCTGCGGCTTCAAGTAAAGGGAAACGTTCGTTACACTCTAATGATGTGTCTTAACTTTGTAGATTCTAGTTTTAAACGCAAGTTTGCACTCACTTTTACCCTGCTGTAGATTGATGTACGAAAAAATCAAACCGAAATGGGGACGCTGCGAAGAAAAACCAACGGTGCCTACACTACACGAGGTGCGCGCCAGGTCCGGCTTCACGTCCGTTACGAGTATCACAAAAATTGCGGTGAAAGCGGTTGTTGATTGGTTGATTAGTCGATGCAGCCGAAAAAGTGTTCAGAAATTTGTACATTACTTTTGACCGTATACCTATTTTATAATATCTGCCTAAAATTACCCAAATTTACACAATAATTTCCTTTACCTTTTTTTTTCATTACACGAAACCACTACGTTTTTTTTTTTTGTAATAAATATGATTTCCTTAGTCGAAAGATTATTTTACACGAACCAACACATTTTCCTGGACTGTACAATTTTTTTTGCATATATAAATTTTTACACCATAATCCGTCGAATTTTTTTCACTTGCCCAATGAACCAAGACCGCTTAGTTTTCGTGATCATTTTGCCAAACATATCGCAGTACGTGCATACTGTTCGGTTGAGAAATACGATTGAATTATTGCTGTCAAAGTATAAACAAAATCACGGGGGCGGCCGGGAAAGATGGCGTCCGGATCCTCCGTGGCCTGATATACAGGGTGTTATTAAATTGTGCACGTGCACGTGCACGTGAAAAACTCCAAGTGAGAGGAAAGTACGCGATTTTTCTTCCAGACGCGTCGCCCGTGACGTCAGTCAACAACTGGATAGTTTATCTATAATTATAACCTATATCGGTATCGCTATTGTATCGTGGAGGTATAAAAATATGGTGGAAAATTAGGAAACATGTATAACACGGCGTTTAAGAAAATATAAAATCTGTCGTCGAGAAACGGAAAAGCGGTATCGACAATAATTACCGTTAATAAACTGTATACTGTACAAACTGTAGTCGCGTTTTAGAAAATCCTAATATCGCAGATGTGGAATTTATTGTGTGACATGCGCGCGCGTGCGCGCGCATCTTAGGTTTGTCGTTAACAACAAAATCCGTTTTGTATATAGAATAACGAGTAAATATCTCGGTAAAAAATCTGTATATATCTGAGGAACTGTATATAGTGACATCGGTAAAAAATAAAATTGTCGCCTCTCTCTCTCTCTCTCTCTTTTTTTCTCTCTATCTTTCCCGTCATCGTCTCGTTTACATCGGAACATATTGGCAATATGATATATATCAGTCTTATAGAAATTAATTCCGAACGAATTTCATTTACACAACTCCGTTCCGGCTCGACCCTTTCGAGGATGAGACGTTTAATTAATCTGAAAAATCCTGTAGGAGGAGGGGGTGACCCTCCGCCGCCACGGGACCCCAGGAAGCACAGACAGCTTAATCTATGTAATCGGTTACGCAACAACACAACTCAACGAAAGAGTCGTCGTCAGAGACGTCGCATATATATCTTTTTTTACAAATTTCCCTAGAACCTAGTCTAATATTGCCCCTATTTACTTAACGCTATCACCGGCCGAGCACGCTCTTTGGCAACGTCGCGGGATATTGATGGGGATAGCCGCGACAATACGACAATACGATTTGCCTACTCGCCAAAGAACATCCTCCGCAGGGCAGTCTATACTCAATCCTGCCCGTTTTGCTGCACCAGCTCGCGCCTATCGTCGACTGCCATCGCCTGCGGCCTGAACAACTCCTGCTGACCTTCTTCCTCGCCGTCTTTAACCCTCTCCTTGCAGTCGAGGTCGTCAGGTAACGTCGTCTGCCCGTAGGGGACGTGATCCACCCGGTTCTTTTCGCTTTGCGGCAGCAGGTGGATCATACTAACCGGGATGGGAAATCCCGTGCCGAAATCGGGATAGAAGTTGTGCGAGAAGGGGTTAAACACCTGGAAAAGAACGACCGAATATTTAAAATTTTCTAACGTCCTCAATCACTTAATCACTCACCGGCGGTTGCGGCATCGGCTCTTGGTCCGTACTCGAAGGCCTTGTATTGGGCTGGATCGGTTCCGGTTCCCTTTCCATCGGTTTCATCGAATTGTTGTTGTTATTGCTGCCTGCCATCGACAGCATGTCCATGGGCGCGTTGGGACCGCCTATGCAGTCCTTTCTGAGCTGTTCTAGCTTGAGGCTCTTGCCGTATTTGCCCCGCACGTACATCAGTAACGAGTTGTACGGTATGCCGAATATCCTGGACGCTTGGCTGGTGGTCATTTTCTTGTTCCACACGTGCTGGAGGGCTTCGGTGAGTTCGGCGTTGGTCCACGAGCGGGGCGGACCTCCTCGGGGTGCCGAGTGCTGCCCTTTCGGTCTGCCCACTGCAAAAATGTTGGTTACATCATTGGAAGATTGTAAAGATTGCTGTTGGTTGTCAAGAGTTAAAGTTAGAAGACCTAAGATCATTCCTAAGAAGATGGAGTAAATGTGTTCGTTTTCTAACGGAACAATTTTTTTTGTAACGGCTGTATGATGATGGGCAGTTGAAAATAAAATAGGAGTATGATTTAACATCGAGAAGCCGGTATTAGGAAAACAGGATATCGTGGAGCTACTGGCAGCCTATTCCCAAGCAGTGGGGTATTTTGTAATGAAACTTTACGGCGTCAGGCTAACGGGAAGTTACAAATAATATAGGAGTATGATTGAACATGGAGAAGTTGTTATTAGGACAACAGGAGCTGCTGGTAGACTATTCTCGAGCAGTGGGACATTTTTCAATGGAACTAATAGGAAGTTGGAAATAAAAGAGGAAACGTATGATTGATCATGGAGAGATGGTATTCGGAAAATGGTATATTTAAGAATTACTAGTCGAATGAAACTTGGGCTAGTGGGAAGTTAAAAATGAAATAGGAAACGTATGATTGGTTATGGAGAAGCTAATATTCCGTCTTAAAGCTTTGCGCTAATGACATAGGAATATGATTAAACATGGAGAAGCTGGTATTGGGAGAACAGGATATCGTAGAGCTACTGGTAACGTAATACCAAGCAATAGTGTATTTTTTAATTGAACTTTATAGAATTAGGCTAATGGGAAGTTGAAAATCAGATAGAAGCATAATTGAACATAAAGAAGCATGTAATGGGAAAAAAGCATATCTTACAATTACTGGTAGACTATTTCCGAGCAGTGCGGTTAATTTTAAGGGAACTTTAGGAATTTGGGCTATTGGGAAGTTGAACATGATATAGCAAACGTATGATTGATCTTAGAAAAGCTGATATTCGGATCTCGTAGAGCTGCTTAAAGACAAGTCCCATTCAAATGAGTATTTTTCCATGGACCCTTTGGCATTAGGCTAATAGGAAGTTGAAAATAATAAAAGTGGAAACGTATGATGGATCATGGAGAAGCTGCTATTCTGTCCATAGCATGTCGTAAAGCTACTGAAAGACTATTCCGGCGCAAAATGCGGCATTTTTTAATGGAAGTTTATGGGTGAATACTATTTGCATGTTGGGAACAAAATATAAAACTCCGAAAACATGGAGTATTTTTTAATGAAACTTTACGGAATTTTGGGAATCATATGATATCGTAGAGCCGCTCAAAGACAATTCCCGTGCAATGGGGTAATTTTTCATGGACGTTTTCGGCTTTAGGCTAAAAGGGAATAAAACAGAAAACGTATGATACTATTCCCTAAACGCGGAATATTTTTTAATGGAACTTTACGGCTTTGAACTAATGGAAAGTTGTAAATGAAACAGTAAGCGTCCATACCATCCATTCTTGATTAGTATTGTTTAATGGCGCTCTTACTTTTCTTTTTGATAAACATGGGGGTGTCGACCGCAGCCCTGGGGTCCGTCATGTCGAACAGGGGGTTCCTACATCCGTCCAATCCGGGTGGAAACAGTCCCAATGGAGAGTCGAGGCCGAAAACTGAAACCGCCCGGAGGGCAACCACGAATTAACGTCGTACTATATAAGTGGTAACCGTGTTTCAAAATGGATGTTCGCCTCAATTATTTAATAACAAAACGACATAAATAATAGACCGCTGTAATTAGAGGCATAGGTACGTCCGTCCGATAATAATTTCGTAGTGAATATTGTATGGAATATTGTTAATTAAAGTTGTACGTTGGGTACGAAAAATGCCGACCTATCATTATTCAATAATAATTACTTCACTTCGGCCAATACGTTGCGACTGGAAGCTGACGCGAACAAACTCTACAAGGTGGCTCAGAGTTAACATGAATAAATCACACAAGTTTTTCTTGGCATAAATTTTGAGGTGGTATTTTTGAAAAGAGAAATGTTTTAGTATCGACCTGGAACCCATCGTTTCCAGTACAATGAATTCTATAATTTTTAGGAGGCAAGTTAGGAGCGTCCCGGATTCTGTATAAATGTACCTTTAACTTTATTCTAAAATTTTTTAATTAAATAAACATAGAAATAAGACGCACAAATGCCAGGACAAATGAAGAAGAAAAAAATGCTCATTTGGGATTACCGACTTTTCCTTTTCCTTATTTTTTCCGTATTACTTTCAGAAATAGACAAAATAAATAAAAAAATAAATGCTTTTTGCAATTAAATGTTCGTCATACGCTATGATGGGAATTTTTAAACAAAATTGGTGATTGGTGATTCATTAATGCCTAGTTCGTGAGACTCTACAGGACTGGTGAATTTTTTCGATGATCTTTAAAAATTGGGACTCCCTGTACGGGACGGGACGCTTCTTTTTTTCGTCGAAACACCTGAACATGGTAAGACCAAGTTGCCGACAAATTAAAGGCGGGATGAGTCGGCTTAAAGCGGAAGCGTGCCGAGCGATTTTTAAACTAACCTCTCAACCGGAGTTTTTTTTTAGGTTCTTGTTAACACCGCGCCATTAATGGTTTATGCAAATTTGACATGCGCGCTCTGCGATAATTACCGTCCGGGGGCATGACTCACATGCCGATTTTTCAAAGGGCCGCTTAGCTTTTCCGGCTCAGGGCCGGACTCGATAACAAAATATACGATAACGATATACGCAACTCCTTTACAGACGCAACAGAGGCTCGATTAAGCTCAAAGATAGTAATAAGAGGTGACGCAAAAGTAGGCGTGTCTCCCTAATATGCGGGGTATAATCGAAAAAAAGACAAATTTAAAAATGTTTAGTTTATTTTAAAAAATAATTTTTACTTATTGTTAGTTATATTTCGAAATTAATATTCTTAACTTATCAATTCCATCCGTCAATACCTTTTTTACTTGAAACAAGAAGTTGCGTATGGTAAGTTGTTTGAAGAATATCATAATGCTCGCTCCTACACAAAAAAATTATTTTACAGTAATTAAATGAAAACTATTGTTTGATATCGCTTTTACCGAGCCAGGGTGTAAGTAAGTAAAATCTGCATACTGTTGGACCAGATTATCACATTTCGTGTTTTGTTTTTGTATTAGTTTGTATTAACTCGGATAAAATAAAAAAAAATCTTAATGTAAAATTGAAAATAGTCAACATTAATAAAAACAGCTTTATTTTGATATCTATTAGAGTAAAATTTAATAAAAAATGGTTTTAATGAATAATTGAAATGCATTAAGGTTGAAACAGCTGCAAGTTCAGAGAAGCTTTCGAAGTCTGGCCAATGCCGTCGAATTAGACAAGATTACTTTCCTGCAAACCCGATAACAATGACTATTTACAAATCTTCTAGATTCCTCCTGGTCGGTTGTTTATAAATCTTGCTGAAAAATTTGAATACTTACACTTACTATGCGGAGGTGTCATGGCGAGTGCCGATACCGCAGGCATAGGCGGGAACGGCAACGACTGACTGTCAATCTCCTGCTTCAAACTGAGACCGGGTTGGGTGGCGGCGATAGGGGAGCCCCGAAAATCTTTACCGCTGCTATGCGTGCTCAAGTCCATCTCCGGAGGTTCAGGCGTGCACGACTTCCTCTCCTCCTTCACCTTCTCTTCCTTCTTCTTGATGCAGAGGTTCTCCGCCGTTTCTTCTCCTGGCGGAGAAAGCGGTTGCTTCGTCTGATTGGTGGTGAGGTCTTGGGCGCCGCACAACTCTCCCGATCTCCTACGTGGTCTCGCCTGTTTCCTCCTCGGCATAGGAGACTGACAGTCTTGTCTCGGCATCAGCGTCTCTTGGAACGTCAGTCTGGGCATGTGAGGTAGCTTCACCGGCGGTTCGTAGTTGTTCTGGATAGGCGAGAAAGGCGAGATTCGTTCGCCAGGAGTACGAATTGTCACCCCCGGGGTCGGAAACTTCCCGTTCGATATGTAACCCCTTTCGAAGTCGTTCGGAGAGTTCGACGGGGTCGGCGTTTGGTTGATGATACTCGTCGACTCCTTGTCGACCCCGAACGGGTCCTGGTTCGCCAACCCTCTAACCTGGAGACTCTCCGCAGCCTTGATCAGGCTCTGCAGCTGCTCTTGTACTACGCTGATCTCGCCCTTGTACATGAAATCGACTATCGCTTGGACCTCCCAACCGCTGAAGTCTTTCAGCACGATGACGGGGTGCTTGCAGGGGTTCTCCGAGAAGACACGCTGGAAGAACGGCGAACAGGCGCTCAAAACTACCTTATGGGCTCGGACAGAGGTCTCCGCGCACACCAGCGTCACGTCCACTAGGGTTTCCGATTGGAGGAGAGCATCGAACGCGGCCAAGATGTGGGACTGATGGTTGTTCCATCTCAGGGAGTAGTGCGACTGCGTCATGCTGCTGGTGGTGGCGCGTCACGCTGCTACCATCGTTTTTCTTTTTGAATTTTGAGTTTCTGGAAAGAAACGGACGGATTTTAGACGACGTTGCGCGAATTTTTATTACTAACACGGAGTAAAACGAAACAAAATAAATACGCAAAGTGTGGAATAAATTTATTAATTCTCCATTTAAGGAATAATCCATAAACTAAATTTGCAGAAATTATATATATATAAATATATATATATATATATATATATATATATATATATATATATATATATGTTGTAAATTCTTCCGGGTTTTACTCCGCGTCTGGTCTGGCTGGCTCCAAGTGGAGGTAGTCCTTTGCTGACAACGTTTCGGCAAGATCTCACTTGCCATTTTCAAGTCGGGTCGTTCTGCTTCTCGTCTGAACTCGGCTTGAACTGTTCAGTATGAACTGTTTAATATGAACGTTATTGTTGTTGGGTCTATTATCATTGCTGAGTTTGTTTATTTATTACTATTATATCTGGTCTGTTATGCGATGTTGTTTTGTCTGAAATAATAGCTTTATCCTAGTAGAATTTCTAGGGAATTGAGCATTTCCAGGTATATAATTGCAGCAGCCTTGTTGTATCTCTCCAAATATTTTATAGGGGCACGCGGATAGTATGTGTTCTATAATTTCTTGGTTCTCATTGCACTTTCGGCATCGGTCACTGGTAATATTTTCCTCGAATATGTACTTCAGGTAATTTATAGTTGGATTGTAATGCGTTCTACATCTGCTTTTGGGTAGTGCATTCGGTGCTTCGTGAGACTCGTGCGTATTGATCTATAAATATTGTCAAGCTCTGTGTACGACCATTTAACTACCCCTAAGTAAAATTGTAATGATTGGGAGGGCGTAGCTATTTATTGCTTTGACTATATTTCTTGAGTTTAGCTTACTTTTTAATATGCTGCACTGGAACTCTTTCGTAAGCATGTTTTTTATTTTCTTGTGTCCAATTCTGTTTGGCTGTAGTATTCCTAGGTATTTGCATGGTTCAGTTGTCATTGATTGTATTTATTATTATTATTATTATAAAGGAATCCTTATCCCCCGAATTTAAGGCGAACCCTTCGTGGGACTGGCACGGTATCCCATCCCCCGCCCCAACCAGGCCCCCAGTGTAACGACTACGTTGCACTGATCCTTTCCCAGCCTTCTAAATGTTTTCGTACGTGTTCGGCCGGAATATGTCACATACGCACGCGAGAAACAAATTTGCACGACGCCCGATCCCAGTGGCGCGCGTCTGACCCGACGGCTCCACCGTTATATTTTTCAAAAAACGTTCGCATCCTTCGACCCCCAAAAAAACTCGTTTTTTTATTAAAATTATTTTTGAAGCAGCTTAATGTACCTAAAGGAAATTTCGATCAAAAAAACTGTTGTTTGGTTTAGTAATTTTTTTATTGTGAATTTTTTTTACTTTTTGGGTAAAAGTGTTTTTGTGACCCAAAAAAGGTACTATCGTTTAAACTCCATAAAATTAGTAATTTGTTGTTTGTGTTATCTATGGAATTAGAAAGTACTGCTATGGAATTAATTATTATATTATTTTTATAATTTTATTTTATTATTCTGTTTACCCTAGAGAGTAAGGCTAACCTTTTTTTAATAACTTAGACCCAATTGCTTGTTTATTGCGAGTTTCAAACGAACCCAAACTAACGGAATCTAAACATGTACTGCAAATGTAACGCTCTCATGGGAGTACGTCCAAATAACCCTAAACACTAAATTATTTCCATTGAATTGTTGTTCGTACGTCTATGGTTGATTCTATTACAGATTATATTAAATACATTTTCAAAAATAAAACGCGATTTCTGTCTTAGTTTATACAAAACAACAATATTACTTCAGAACTATTTTTGAACAACTTCTACGTATTCTCTTTTAACTATTTCATCTGTCCTATTCGACACTTTTTATTTCTTTGTTTTCCTTTCGTAGGGTTGTTAAAGCTACGCTCGTGTGCCGGGTGGTTCTTCGTGACTACATACGTTGTTTTATTTCTTCTAATTCCGTACGGAGTTTGATCGTTTAATTGATTTGCATGATTTGTGGCGGTCGTTACGACAACGAGGCCCGCGTTTCGGCCTAATGAAACCGTCACAATTAAAATATACGAACGACACACGCGTGTAAGGTTCAGAAGTGGGAACGCGTGCCACATAACATTCTACCTTCCCCCGTGAACCCCACTACAGCTTAGCTACGAAGTAAACTTTTACATTGGTTAGCAGAACGCGATAATAGAATTCTACGTGGCACGCTGTCACACTTCAGAAGCGGGATCGCCCAGGTCGCATGGAGGGAGGCATCGAAAGTTATCGGAAGAGTTCGCGATGATCTGTAAGAAGCAATTAATCGGCAGAGTAAATATTTGACAAGCGAAAAGCAAGGAGTTGAAATCGCGCAGCGTTTTATCGTCGGTAGTTCTTGTACTTCGCAATATTAATATTTGCTTTTATATTGGAGTTTAGATAAATAGTGTTTACTCAACGTGTGGGACATAAGTTTCGGGAAAAAGCCGGGTTCGAAGCTGTTGACGCCGGGCTTTGCTCGAAAATGATTAATTTTATTAATAACCATCATCATAATGAAATAATATTGCCAAGATCAGGCAACAAAAGTAGCATGGTATAAATAGAACAGCATATTGCATACACGATGCAAGAACTGGCAACAATAACAAGACATCATTGAAGGATAATTTTATAGGACTTATACAATCATAGTAATTGTAGCTAATAGGCAAGTAATTTCTTCCTCGATTTTATTTATGCTCTTTTTCACTCGTACCGCACTCATGGGAGTTTTTTTGGAGTTTTTTTATTGAACCATTGAAATTTGTGAGAACATCTGCCCATCATGTCATAGTTAAGGATTTATAAACCTTAGATATTAATATAAGACTTTTTTTATTTACTAGTTAAACTATTAATCATGACATAAGTGCAATATATTAACCCATTAACCAAAACTAACCATCTTGTAATTGTCACTCCTTTAGGGGAGGAATACGGGAATCACCTTGTCAGTTCCGCAGGACCATCGAAATCGGCGCTAACCTGCCAATGATTTGCGGGCATGCAGCATCATTCTCAAGCAAAGTTTAAATTTCAAATCAATATCAAAGCTTTCAGCTTTTGGTGTGCGTTGTCACCATCAGGTCTAGCTTACGTATGAGAACTAAACTTATTTTGGGTTTTCTCCACATCAAACAACGCAAAACCATTTTAAAGGCGCAATTAATATATAGAACGTCAAATCTCAGCTGATCTAAGGTCTCCACATTGTTTCTAAGGAGGCAATAAACTATAATAAACGTCGAATGATTCGATTTTAAATTATTGGGTTTAGAAATTAATTTATTTATAAACTGTTTATAAGCAATTTCATAAAAACCTCCAAGAACGACAATACATAATTGTCTGGATAACGGCAATCGTATGGATGCATTTATATCAAGAGATAATGGCAATGCATTGTCTTTGTCGCCCAGATGAATTTCTCTTATCATCTTATCTTATCAAGAAACGGGTTCTGTTCAGGAATTGCAGAGTCCATAACAATCCGCGTACCCAACCCGGGTACCAACTACATCCAACTGACCCCTACCTCACTTGACAAAAAACTACTTCAACTCCACTACAGCTCTGGTGTTATTAGCCAGACCAACCTATAGTTGCCTTACGATTTGGCAGTTGGTATGATGGGTATTTTCAGATGGTATATACAAGCTGCGTTAAAAATTATGGGTAGCCAACAGCTTGGCAGGTTGGGTCAATAATGGGGAATTTTTTAAGGTAAAATTGTCGACACCAAAGTATAAATTTATTAGAGAGTTCAGTTTATCAGAAATTGTAGAAGAACATTCAATCTATCTTGATTGCATTTTGATTGGCAATAATTTTTATGTTTTTGAAGATATCGAGGAAAATAAAAAAGCGAAAAGTAGGATTCGCAGTCAATTTTCTTAAACAAGACACCAACAATTTTCTGAGATAATAGCCTATTATATAATAATTTAAATGGAATCTTTCGATATTTTGGCACAAATAGGTCAAATATTTCAAAAAACATATCCAAATAAAACTGCATCTTGCTTTGGCATCGTTCGTCATTAATTTTATGCGTTTTATGACATTTAAATTTAGTGTAATCATATATATCACATTTATGAAAAGTGAGGATTGAAATGCGGCTGCGGAAAAAGAGGAAACCGGATGTATTCCAAAGAACCCCATATAACTTGTTTTAATTTTTAAATCAGGTTTATTCCTATACATTTTTTTAATACTTAACACGTTACCGGTTTCCTCAAATTTCTTTGCAATATCTGTTTGGAATGAACTCTGGATATAGTCTAACGTACTGGCGACCCGCGAAAATTACCCCTTTTATGATTCTGATAGTTAATAATAATATTAATAAGAATTTCTGGCTAGTGAATGGACCTCTATTTCTCGAAACTGGATGACAAATGCAATAAACAGAGAGCATCCACCATGGGCGAATGGACGACAATTTATCAAAATCTAGATCTCCATAGCCCCGAAGAACCAATTGTACATTTGCGATCGATTCAATTCTGTAGGTTTTCGGGAGACGCACTTTACAAATACTGAGAATATTCGGGAAAATTACAGCTTTAAAGTGTGCTGGGACTGGACTGTCAAAAGGACAATAACAACAATGGACGAAATGTCGTGGTAAAGACCAGCATTCCCAACTCCAATAATATAATAGAATGCAAAGAAAACTGGCCAAGTATGCTGATCTGGCGCTTGATGCTGCTGATGTCGGCTAATGCTGTGGTACCTCGCTTAACAAAACATCTGTACGCTTAGTGGCAGATATGCAAAAATCGGTAAGCTATCGGGATACGCATATTACAGATACTGAGAATATCTTGGTAAATTACAGCTTTAAACTGTGCTGGGGCGGGACAATAAGTGCTACTGCTGTGGTAAAGTCTGTTCATAGATATAAGAAAGTGACTAACTGATACGAATTAACGAAAGACTCGG